TTTTTTGTCTTTACATACCTTAAATACATTGTAAGAGCTCATGAAAATCAGAAAAAAGACAAAAGACAATTATTTCATGAGCTTACAAATACTTTTTTCTTAAGTTTGGAAGTGGCTGAGCACACTGAACAGAAGATTCATTTAGAAGTGGGTTAGAGACATTTACATCTCAATGCTTGTTGCATACTAATAAACTCATACAGTTTTGGTATTCTCTCTACAAGAGAGCAGCTAAATGGGTAAAAATGTTCTAGATTTCAGTTACTTATTAATGAAGTTTTTATTGGAAATTCTTACTCAGGAATTTCCAGAAGTTAATTATTTGCCAGTCATGCTACAAGTGAACTCATTATTGTCCAGTCTTAATTGGTTAAATGGCTACTTGAATTAACTTGAGCTTTTCTATTGTGAGCTTATAAGACTATCTTTCACGTAAACAAACTATTTTTCTGTTGTCTTAATTGGGTATAATCACTATCAGCATTATAAATGAGAAAGGGGTTTTGTTTCCTAAGTGTATCCACTAGGTGCTAGGTTTTTATTAATTTAAGTAGAAATTATATGACTGCAGAAAGTACTTAATAACCTCTATTGTCCTTATGTCTATCAGACCTTGAACATACACCAAACATACCCACAGAGCTTCAATGTTCATTAAAGAAAGTATATGCTGCTAAATCTCTTCTTGTGCTTCTAGTGCAGCATTGGAAAAGTTCCCTTAGCAACATGTAGGGTACCTGCAAACTTACCGAGCATGTAGCATCTGCATTATTAATTTATGGAGCATGATTTCAGCCATTCATTGCCTCTAGCAAGTGCCAGGTTCTCGATGTGATAAAAAGATTGTCTATTAGTATTAATTGCTTGAGGTGTCTTTTTTTGTTGGTGTGTTTCTTGAACTCGAAGCTAAGATAATACAGAGTCTTAAAGCAGCAAACATAAGAACTGGCCATATAGGTGAAAGAGGATTATTTATGCATCTCCTGCTGCTGTAAAGAATCCAGAGTGTTACCTCTAGAGAAAAAAGGAAAATTTTTATATACAAGTTCTAAAGCAGTGCTAATTCTGGCAGTTCTTGCTTATTTTCTCAGATCTATCAGATTTTCTTATTGTCTGATTACCCTGTGATTGATAACAAAATACACAAAAAAGCTAAGCAAATTTTTTAGATATTTTGTGTGATCTGTATTTATGCAGGTATAAGATCCAGAGTTCCTTGTATAAGTTACAAATTGCTACCTTCATAAGATAAACAAAAAAATTAAACTTGATCCTGTGAGGCACGGCACCAAAAGTTACAGAAATATTATGGGGAAAATGGTGCAGAATATCCCCTATTTTAGGATGTTAGTGATTAGGGGTTGTGTTTTCAAATTTTGAGGAAACAAATTGCAGTAAAGCCTGGCCCAGACTCAGTGTGACCTCAGGCTGGGGAGAACAGGGTGCTGCTGCTCCCAGCTGTGACACCTGTGGGTCCCTCCCCAGCTGTGACACCTGTGGGTCCCTCCCCAGCTGTGACACCTGTGGGTCNCCCAGCTGTGACACCTGTGGGTCCCTCCCCAGCTGTGACACCTGTGGGTCCCTCCCCAGCTGTGACACCTGTGGGTCACTCCTGCTGGTCCCTGCACTCAGCACCTTCAGTCCTGCCCCTCTTGGCTCCAGTTCCTGGGTGTTCCCATGCCCTGCTGCCTGATTTTTATTTTGATGGTGGATTAGACACATACCACAAATTCTCTTAACATCCAAAATATGAACCAGTCAGATTGCACGTGCTTTTGGGAGATTTAGCAGAATTTCTCTGAACTTGAACAATTTTGATGTTGTGTGTTAATGGAGGGTTTACAAACTAGACAGATTCTTCAGTCTCTTGTGTTATTTTTCTGGTTCATGTATTCAGTGTAGAAATATTTTTATTAAAAATGATTAGGCTTTATGTGTAAGGGTGGCAACTCTAAATTTTCATCTGGTTTCCTGTCAGAGTTTAAACAAACTGCTCTTGTCGCCTGAGATCATTCTTTGACTCTTGGAGTCACATGGAAGTGTTGACTGCTGTTTGCTGTCTGGAACAGCTCGTGACTGTTTACTGGAAAAAAGCAGCAGCTACATTGTAGAAATGTGCAGTGTAATATCTCTGAATAGCTCTGTTGTTGACACTTGTATAGAAAAATCACCTACTCAACTGCAAATACAAGAAAGCTTCATTGTGCAAATCCTACACTTACTACTTACATTGTTTATCTGCTTTCCTAAACTTGACTTAATTCACACCTTTTTATATTGCTCATTAGAGATGTCCAAATGAGGGATAAAAGACAGGTCAATATAAAATTCCAAACCTGCGTTAAAAAAAAGTCAGTTTCTAGAGGTGTTTGGAAAGTGCAGCTTGGCATTGCAGACTTTCTCCTGTTTCATTGTAAATGTTTCAGCCCCTGGGGTGAAGGCCGTGTGGGTGCACTCCCTGTCCTGGCACACCATAATCCTCAGGTTCAAAACTGACAGCTCTCTGTTAGGGCTGCCAACTTGAGAGCAAGGAAGAAGTGAGGCCAAAAAATCCAGAATGTTTTTTTTGTTGGATGAAATGAGATTAAATGAAGGTGCACTGGAATAGGATTAGTATTAACATGTTGCAGTGTAGCCACACAATTCTGAGGAATGGAGGAGGAAAGTAAAAAGAGCTGGCTTTGGTAAGAGAATGATGAGGCAAGTTTTAAACTGTAGTAGATTCAAAATGAAGGTATTTGTATGTATTGTAGCATCAAAGATATGAAGTACTGGAATAGTTTGGTAATAGTAATTTGTGCTTTTAGCAAGAGTGATACTAAACAATATTATACTTGATAACAGATAAGAGAATGTTATACCAAAAAAATACTTATGGAAGTTGCACTTCATTTCATGGTGTATTTAACTCTCCATATTTTTTTATTAGAAATGCTGTGATACGCTGGCAGTACTGAGAGGGCAGAATAAAAAATATGTAGCACTCAGTTTGTGGAGAGGAGAAGCTTCATAGACACATGACTGAGAACTTGACATTGAATAGTTGAAGACTTAACACCAACTGTGAGGAGAAATTACTTCAATATATGGTTTGGGCTTTTGCAGTTCTGGGCATTAAGAAGTTTCAGGCCAGACCCTGCTAGAAGTATTGAAACATTTTCATTGCAGCGTTTAGTAGATGTAGGGCTTGTCATTCTCATGTATCCCATTATAAAACATTGTTTTCAGTTGCTGTGGACTTGGCTGAACTTTAACTATTTGTACTGAAGCTGTCAGAATCAGATTTTTTGTTTTCAAATTCAAAAGCTTATTTAAGCACAGTTTAGTAGTGTTTGAGAAAAGGCTTTAAAGCTTTTTTTTATAAGCATATCTGCTTATAGAGCATTTTCACTACTCCTGCCACTTCTGGCATAGATTATGTGTGTGTATGACAACCACAGGTCAATGAAAGTTGTCTCCTGACATCTTCAAGCATAATTCTGACAGCTCAGGGCTACAGACTTAGTCCAAGAGATTTTTGTAGCTGTTTATCACGACTGAACTAGAAGCAGGAATTCTGCTGCTGCTCTTAGTGACTTCCATGCTGATCCCTAATCGGATTAGGGGTGAGAGAGCCAGTAGGACAGTGGAGTTTAATAGCTCAGGGTGAGGAGCATGTGCAGGAACTCGCAAAAGGTCCATTTCTACTCAAGTGTCTGAGGATGCTAAAGACAGTCCTTTGAACATCTGGTTACGTGGCTGCAGTGAGAACTATCTGAGGAAAATACTTTCTCTGGATCAGGAGACAGGTGGGAAGCTTATTCCAAGCTATGTTCATTCTCACTGGACATAAATAACTGATTCATGCCCTTACAGCCACCCAAAGAACTGCCTGTTTTCGTGCAAAACACGGGACACTCTGAGACTGCATTTCAGGCAACTGGGACTAAATATGCCCAGCCTATTATGAGCAAATTAGGCTTCAGCAATCTTTAGTCCTTAGTCTTTTTTAAACAGAAACCTACAGCCAGTATGAAATTACGCTTTTCTTGGAACACACTTCCACTCCCACACTATTTATGGTTGACAGCAGCAGCTGGAGGTGGTTCATCTGATGACAGAAGCAAAAGTCCTACACAGGGATAAAATGGATTACCATGTTAAATTCCTGAAGTAAGAATTGCTGTTTTGCTTCCAGAAACCTCTGTTGCAGAACTAAAAAGTAACATTATCTGTAGTGATTTACTTTTGCTTTTTAAGTCGTCGTCAGTCTCATTTGCCTATGTGCTTTTTTATTGTATGACTTATGCCAGACCAATTAGCATAATTTATTTTTTTCTTCATTTAGATCTCTGTTTTGCAAAGGAAAATGATTGGTCTCCTTCAGTAGACAGTCACAGTAGAAACTCTGAAATGTGTTTGTGTTCTGGTTTTTCTTTTTTGAAATCACCTGAAAATCTGTTTATAAATACAAAACTAGATGTGGCCTAATAATTCTGAATTCATGAAGTTCATAAAACTCTCTGAAGTACTTAACAATATCCAACTAATTTCAGTTTTTAAAATAAATACTAGCTGAAGTACAGGAATGTATGCTTTTGTTTAAAGGACACTGTTGTTCAAACCAATGAATTTTTAATAGTTGAGAATTGCAGATTTTCCTCTTGGATATAGGGAAAGCATTGTGTAGTTCTTTTGGTTTTGGCTGTGGGTTGTTTTTTTGTCGTTTGTTTTTTTTCGGGTTTTTGGGGGGTTTTTTATGATTGGTCGGTTGTTTTGGTTTTTTTGTTTGTTTGTTTGTTTTTTCCTTTTAACTACTGCACAGTATTGTCCATTTTGGAATGGTAGTTTTCTTTTTTTCCCTGGACTGGTGTTAGTTAAATTCCAGGTTTACCCAGAAGAGGCGTATAACTTGAAAGAGGTAAAGAGATAAGGGTTTCTTGGTACTACAGACTTAGAAATTGTCGTTCCTACAAGATGTATAAAGGCTTCTGTTTTCCCCTCCCCTTTTTCTTTTTAAGGTGAAATTGTGGTAAATGAAGTGAATTTTGTAAGAAAGTGCATTGCAACAGACACGAGCCAGTATGACCTGTGGGGCAAGTTGGTTTGCACCAACTTCAAGATTTCCTTCATCACGGATGACCCAATGCCACTGCAGGTTTGTTGCTGCTCACGCTGCTCACCAGGGCAGTGTGTCGGGGGAAACACAGGGAATGGCTCAGATCTGATATCTACATGATGCCTTCTAAAACAAAGCAGGCTAAAGGATGAGGTTCCACTGTCCTGTTCCTGGTGTGCTGCTGTTCCATCCCTTCACTGAGAGGATCAGAACAGAGCAGGTTTGCACAGAGGTACATCCAGCTCTGCTCACCTCTGTGTGGGGAGCTGCCTCGGGAAGTGGTTTGACCAAAGACAAAGCAGGAGTTGTAAACAAACTGTTCCTCCTTGAAGGAGATAATTGCAAATGTTCCTTTGAACAGAGTGTCAGATCAGCAAAGCCTTTCATGTGGCTGAGTTTTATTGGTGTTACTGATGGAGGGCAGAGTAACCATGAAATGAGTTTTCATTGTACATGAAGCAACAAGAAAAGGGGAGAGAGAAACTCTTTTGTCTTTGTCAAAGCAGAACATGTGACATTCAAAACCCTGATCCCTTTTTGAACAGCACAGCACACTGCACTGTTGGGAAGTACAAGTAATGAGCTCTGTAGTATTTTCAGTGAAGTTTGCACTTTCATTTGGGGGTTTTAAAAAAACCTAAGCATTGTGTAAAGCTCTGAAAGTAGATAAATGCTCATTCAGTAATGGTAAGTTTGACTAAAGCTACTTCAAAAGGTTAATTTTTGACATGAAATAGTTGTCAAAACTTGCTCCTTAAAGTAGAGTTAATATTTTTTTCTTTCTATGGTTACTGTAATAATTGGAGATTCCTTATATTCGATCAATATTTTACACTTCAGATTGTACTGAATTTCTACCGGTAATTTTTGAGGCTAATTCAGTAAATTCAGTGCAAATATTGAGCTTAATTTGCATACTCTACTGGGGTTTCTGAAATGTTGGGTGTGCAGTTCACCAGCACAAGAAGGCTGCTTCCACAACCTCTAATTGCCCGTGAAGAGGCAAGGGTGGTACATGTTAGAAAAGCCCAGGCATGCCTGATTTTTATCCTAGTTTGTTCAAAGTTGTGCTGTATATCTGGTTGCAAACTGCAGAACTGCAATTAATGCCTGTGAGTTCATGTGTTTCAGAAGTTCCATTTTAAAAACCTCCTGCTCGGGGAACACGATGTCCCGCTCACGTGCATTGAGCAGATTGTCACAGGTACGTCAGGAACAGGGACGTGGAATGACAGTTGGGCAGAATTGTTGAGACTTAAGGTTTTATGTTATTAACCTTCCCTGATTTGAAGAATTTGGTTTATTTAAATTTAGGATAAAACCCTTAAAAGCTGAATAAATCTTGAGGTGCCACGCAGGAGACTTATTTAGTTGGGTCTTTATATTGATTTTAAATTTAACTACAGTACTGAATCAACAAGTGTTCTAGGATAGACACCTACTATAGCAGTACAAAATGTTGTTAGCAACTTCTTTATATTCAACATATGAATCTGCCAGTGAAACACACTGGATGGCAAAAAGCACATCACTTATACAATTTACACATAGCTGGGATATCTGACAACAGAAATGCTGTAATTTTCAATCTTGTCTAATTCTTAGCAAGTTCGTAGCTAATGGTCCTAAAAAATCTGCAAATGACAGTAGACATCTTAATCTAAAGAAATAAAATACTTATTATGAAGAACCAGTTTCTGTTTTGTTGGATTCTTTAGGCTAACCCATTTCTTAAGAGGAATGTTTTTCAAATCTTTATGGCATGGGCTGTAAAATACTTGGTTTTCTGACTGTAGGTAATTTAAATCATTAGTTAAAAATTTTCAGTGCCCAAAGTTTGTTGTGATCACTGTTTAAAGATTAATGTGGATCTGAGGAAGAACATTATGAAGAAATGTTTTTTTTAAACTGAAGAGGTTATATTACCTGTTACATTGTCTTGCACTGGCCCACCTTTGTTACCCCTTTTCAAAAACATGAGGTTTACCCTAAATTTAGTGAAGCACAAGCTTTTACTAGCAGGAATTAACAGATTTTCTACCTCAGTTGAAATAGTCTATTAAATAAAAAACTGGTAGCAACATGACTTTGTCTGTTTGAACCAACCTTGTGAATACTTACAGAGCACAGTCCAATAACTTTGTCTCTTATTTGCAGTGAATGACACCAAGAGGAAGCAGAAGGTCCTGGGTCCCAACCAAAAACTTAAATTTAATCCAACGGAATTAATAATTTATTGCAAAGACTTCCGGATTGTCAGATTTCGTTTTGATGAGGCAGGTCCCGAAAGTGCAAAAAAGGTATTAAAGGCTTCTTATTATGTCCTGCCTTGTAGTCATTACATGTAGCAACAGTTGTGCAGAGAAGAACATTTTGTATTATGTTTTGATAGACAAGTTAGGGGGTAAGAATTGCAAATTAGTCACATTCTATTACAGCAGAATATCTAGATATCTAGAGTCAAAATTATTAGGGAAAAATTTAATGTGATGTATTAACTGTTTCTTATCATAATAGATAAAACTCTATATCTTCTCATATCTGTTGTACTTTAAAAAATTACGAATTTATTAAATAAGTCTTTAAAGACTGGAATCTGAATACTGCATTGCAGCTGTACAACAGATGTTTGTCCTTTTTATGGAAAATGTTTGAAACTTTGATACATTTGTGAAAGTTGTAAGCCTAATTTACCGCTAGGTTGAGTGTACTGCCTTGTGGATATCCTTCTTAATTGTTTCACACAGCAAGTTCTTCAACAAGCTCTTGCAAAGATCAATTTGCCTAATCTACATAAAACATTTTCTTAGAGAAGACTGGTGTACCTCTTGACAGGAGGAGTTACCCTGGTCTGTACCCTCCTAGACATGTCATTCCTTGCCCCGTTTCCCCTGGTTGCCAGGAGTGTCCCCAGAGTGGTAGGGCATTGTTGGTCTGTGCCCCCGGGTGAGCTGTGCTGGGCAGGGCTGCCCAGCCTGCACACACTGGCTCTCTGCTGTCAGGGGCTGCTCCAGCTCCTCTGGCCTCCGTGGCATAGCTGGCCTTTCGTAAGGAATGACCCAGTTTGCTCTCAGAGCTTAAGAATCCCCCTTCTCAGTAGGATGAAGTTTGAGTTTAGCCCTGTAAGTCCTAAGAACCATCTGCCCAGGCATAAGTGTGTTTGCAGTTCCAGCCGAGTAACTGCAGAGCTGGCCCATTGCTGCTTCCCCTGCTGCCCTCCCTGAGAGCAGGGGCAGGGTACTGCAGACACTGTTCTGGCCTTGCCACTTGTGCAGCTCCCTCCTTGCTGCTGCCTTGGCTGTTTGTAACCTTTCACGTCTGGCAATCTTCCAGCAGCCAGTTCCCCTTTGTCAGCTTCCCAGAAACCTTCCTGGAGCAGTCCTCACCTGCTGCATCTGTACAGCAACTGTGTCTAGTTGGCTGTTCCAGCTGAGGAGGGTGATTTGCCTGGAGAAGGGAGGAAGAGAGAATAAACTCAGCATCTCATTAATGCTTTTCAGGCTGCATTTACTTCAGCCAGAGCAAACAGTGAAACCTTTTTAGGGAAGCACTTTAGGCATTTACAGTTACGTGGTCTTAGGTGGTTCCTAGGAAGAACAGCTAGTTCTGGAGATCCTGAAGGATCTGAGTCGGTGTGGTTATAAACACTGTGCTGGTGGTGACCAGAAGTGTTACACCTGCCATTTTCAAGTATCAGAATATGCTCACTAGAGGAGTCCAAGAAAACGTGTACAAATATCAGCTGTGTGGCTACTGTTGCAGTTTTAATGCAGCAAGTAGATTACTGCAACTCTGTGTGGGTGAATCACAGAAGCACAATTCAACTGAAGGGGGAAAAGGTTCTGTTAATAACATGTTCTGTTAGCTTTAAAATATAAATGTGTAAACCATGAGGTCCTTAGATCAGTTTTCCTGTATCGGGATTTTGCTTATATTATTTTGGGGGGCTGGCGAGCACATCTAGAAGGGCACACAGCATATTGACTGGAGGTGTCTTGCTCTTTCTGACATTTAGGTGGCATGCTGGCACCACACTCTGGAAAGATTTTATCTGCTTTCTGTTTCTGCCCTTCAGGTAGTACCTATTAGCAAAGTTGTCCTGATGTTTAAAAACAAAGGACAGCAAACAGGCCTCCTTAAAGTTCTGAAGGGCCTCTTTAATCCATATGTACATCCAGCTCTTTGTGCCTGAAAACACTGGTAGCTGTCTGCTTGGAAATAACTGTGTGTGCATAACTTTTGTAGGAAAGACCAAGACTTGAAGTATAACTGAGTTCTGATGTGAGGGAAATCCTGCTCATGGGCTGAGTGTGCATTGTCCTCTGAGTGGGAGAATGTTGCAGAGGAGAATGCATGGGAGGGGCCTGGGGACACCATCAGCTAGTCCACCTTTCTCTTCACAGTTGCCAGGGTTAGATTGGGCTGTAATGAAACGTCATCCTTGTTATATAGAGGAGTAGCATCCTGTAAATAAAGCAGTGGTAGGTCAAAATGAACTATCTAGCTACTAAAATATGCACTTCAAGTTATAGGAGTATAAATGTCTCTAACTTGTTGCCAGATGATAGGAAATGTTCCCTTTAGTGCAATAGTTATATAAAAACAATACGCATGGTAATTACTATTTAAAATGAGCTTTAATAATAATGGCCAGTCTTCGCGAGCGAAGATTTGGGAAAGGTCATTGACCCTTCGAGCCTGCGCAGTGGATTTTTTAGGTGAGACCCAGCGTGCGCTGAACTGAGCCCACCCTTTAATCCTGAGGTTCATCTGCCGGGGCCGAGTGAAACTCGGACAGTGGCAGTGAGGGTCTCAGAACGTAGGTTTGTTTAGAGTGACCTTCTCTTAGATGGATTGCCTTACAGGGCTGACGAGCTCCATCTGCCCGGGGGGCTGGGAATCGAACCCGGGTCGCAGCGGTGAGAGTCCTGCACCCTAACCACTAGAAATGAGCTTTAAATATATGGAATAATTACAAAGAGGACAGATACTAACTTTATACAGTTAAGTAATTTGCACAGTTCTGTGCATGTACTGGAAATACTCAACAGCATTCAGTGACATAAATTGGTGTTGACAAAGAAAGTGTAATCTGTTCCTAAGGAAGTGCCTCTATTTGCTGAACAGAGCATAAGGGAGAATAATTAATTAAGCTGCCTTACTAGAATAGAGATTATTCCAAGTCTCTCTGTGAGGATCTCAGCATTAATCAGTCAGGTAAATATTTTCTTCCTCATTTTTATTAGTGGATGTTTGGGAGACAAGAGTTAAGGAAAAAGAGAGGGAATGGAAATTTTCACTCATCACTGTTTAGCAGTTTAATTCTGTTTTGTCTCTAAAATAAAGCTATAGAGTCTCCAAAAGAAAGAAAGCCAGATGGGTGTGGGAGGAAGTGGAGGATGGGGAAGCAAGAGTAAGCAAGTTGGGGAAGTCTTAAGTTAGGCAGTGCAAAAAAGGAAGTATTTTCACATTCCTTAAAGGAAAGGAATTATTTTGTTCCAAAAATGACAACAAACAGTCAAACTGAGAAGTCCTGCCATTTTCTAGCCACTGCAGCACTTGACATTAGACTGAGAAAATAAATATGAAAAGGTGAGGCTTTAGATGTTATGATTGTAAGATGATGGATAGAGTGTTGCCTCACCGTCCATATGGATCTTGGCAGTGCACCAGAATGGCACACACCCTGTATCTCCATAAATGTATCTCCATTTTCTCAGTCCCTTTCTCTTCTGGAACTCCCTCAGTTTTTTTCCTTCAGGAAGTTTTTTGAATGAGAATGAGAGCAGTTTCAGAATCACATGCTCAGTCAAAGCAGAAGGAAAGTTATTTATCTCAAATCTTGTTTCCTGTGCAATCAAAACTAGCCTTCTCCTATGTCATAACACTTGGGATGAAGAGGAACATTTTTTTCCTAATTGTTATGAACAATAATATGAAACTCTTAAGAGTTTTGGACAAATGGTCCTGACCCTTTCTAATGTGTTCCCCAACTCTATTACCTTGCTCTAATTGTTTATACAGATCACAAAATTGGTAATGTCTCAAGACACAGGGAATGCATGGGAAGATACTGTCTTGGAGTGGGTTGGAGGGTGTGAAGAAAACTTATTTCAGAAGTAAACTTACAGAATGACAAAATGATTTTGGTTGGAAGGGACCTTAAAGCTCATCTAGTTCCAACCCCTGCCACGGGCAGGGACACCTTCCACTAGCCCAGGTTGCTCAAAGCCCCGTCCAACCTGGCCTTGGACACTTCCAGGATTGGGGCATCCACAGCTGCTCTGGACAAAGGTAAAAGGTATTTTAAAAAATAGAGAGGTATTTTAATAATTCTCTTAATGCTTAGGAAACCTGTACTTAGAATTCAAACACATTCTTGTACAAACAAGGATCCTGATATGTAAAAAATTTACTTGAGCTTTTGAAAGCTTTGTAATGTTTCCTCTCATGCCCAAACCAAATTAAGTATTATGTACAGCTGGTATTGGAATTCTTATAGAAGTGGAAAAAAGCAGTTCTCAGTTAGACAATTCATAGCTTTGCAGCTATGAGAACATGTGTGAGGGTTAGGACTGGAAGACTTATTGCCTGAATACTTATTTTCCCAAGAAGACTTCCAGCTTAGGAAGATTAACAAATTCTGTTTGTGGGGCTTGATCTGGCCCTGCTTGCATGACTTTCTGCTGCAAGTGTCTGGTTGGAATAGGAACTGCAGTAGCAAGGGAAAGCAGCATCCTTCCAGGCAGCTGGTGAGACAGGTGGCCTGGCTTAAGGAAGCCGGGCTATGCTACCTTAGCACATCTGGAATAGGACTGTTCAAAAGTCTTCTGCAAGAGCATTGGAAATACCTTGGAGCTCTTGTCCTTGGTAAAAATCCTGATGAAGTGGAGGGTGTGCCCTGCAAGTTATCATCTATTTTTCTCAGATAAGGGTTGAACAGGGGACATGACACAGGGAAGTGGCCTTTGTACTATGAAACAACTGCAGCCATTGTGTTTACTGCTTTTAATACATGAACTTTCCAACAAGCAGCCCATTCTCTTGTTGTTTGTCTGAGCCTGAGTATCTAGAGCTTTACACGATTGTGAATTGGCAAGAATACCAAACATTTTTCAGTTTGATATGAGAAGGCTTCCTGTAAAACATGTTTGGCTTCCAATTTAAGAGCTTTCTACTTACGGCGATAATCTGCTGAGATCTGTGGAATGTGCTTGTCTTTGGGATCTTTAGGACTATAAAACTACTATAGGGATTTAGTGAGGAATAAACTGAAAATGAGTGTGTCTTTAATGCTTGTTTAGTGTATATATATGAGCAGAATTTTTCTAAAATGTAAAAATGAAGATAGCAGCAGAATAAATATATCACTCTTTTAAATAAAAGCAATAGAGGTCAAACTGTTTCACCCATGCAATACCTGGTGTGTTTTTTCTATTCTATGGAACCCTTGGAGGGATTTTTCAGCTGCTTTGTTTAAAAGCACAGCTATGGTGTCATATTTTTTGGGGGAACCAGATCTGAATGGTTACTATCCCCTCTCCTGCCATTTTATCCCTCTTAACACAGTAACCCCCCCCATCTTTTTCAAATGTAGCAAGTAAATGACAGAGATTTCAGCTGCTGCTTTCAAAAATAGGTTTTACTGTATTTCTATTGTGTTATTTGGCAGCACAATGGAATTTTTTTCATGTCTTGCAGTTTATCCTGAAGCCTTGAGAGTGGATCAGTATAGTAAAGGCTTTCAACTTTCACTCCATAAAAAAAGATGAGGAATAGCTCTGCTAGAATCAGTTAGCAGTGAAAAGCTACAAAGAAAAATGGAAGTAAAAATGTGTATATACAGAGATTTCCATTGTGTTTCATTTTTAATGGTAGCCATAAGAAATCTGTTAGAAGTGGCCAGATATTGTTGAATAGCTGGCTTCTTCAGCTTTGGCTTGTACACTGAAATCACAAGATTTAATAAAATGAGCATGCCTTCCAGTTATTTCATGATAGTCATGAAAAATTTTACCAAATCCTGGCAATGAGCTTGTAAATGTTCATTTGACAAGTCCTGCTAGACTGTTTCCCAGGGACTCTTGTACTGTTTGGGTGTTCTGAGGGGTTGTCACCCTCGGAATGTTCTGTCCTCTATTTTCTTTTGCGGTTTCCTTGTAGAGCTGAAAGTGTGGGGAGATCAGTTAAAGAAGCTGTTGTTCTAAGACTTGATAGGAATTTTTTTGTTGGGAAGTGTTGGTGAAAAAACGTTTTCAGCTGAAATTAGTCTATTGTCATTACTAGTTTTTTAAATAATGAGGAGTGTCCCCACCAAAAGCCAAAGTATATAGAAATACAGCAAAAGTTCCATAATGCCATATATATTGCATACAAGCCAGTAGAAGTGTGGTAACTTTCTCCATGTAGAACTTAGCAGAACTGAGCTCTCAGGCTTTTTTCCTGTCCCTCAGTGCTTTATTCCTTCAGTTCTGTTGTGCAAATCTTTCTTTTATGGCAATCACAACAAGAAAACTTTCCCTCATTAACAGAAAACAATTCTTGGATGCACAGAATGTTTTTCAAAAATAGTATCCTTAACTGCTACACCATGAATAAATGTGTCATTGTGTTCCCAAATGTGGAAAGTCATGGAAAGGAGAAGGGGAAGGAAGAAAATAGGAAAAATTTTAGGTGGTAATAATGTGGACTTGCACTATGTCCCTGATTAAAAACTTTTGTCACATACAATATCTGTATCTGAACATGTAGAACAGAGTCCTGTGGTTTATGGCCTTCTTTTCCTTAAGTATTTTCTTTAGAGATAAGGCAGGTACATTTTAGTAAAATGGAGAAGCAAATATTAAGGGAAGAGGGCAAAGCTCAAGACCCCATTGAAATCCTGCAATTTGCAGTGTAACAGTGCCAGTTTCTAATTGATTTTTTAAATTCCTGAGTGGGATTCTTCTAGATATTACGTTTTTAGTCAAATCTTCTGTATCTGTTAGTGACTATCTGCATTTAAAGAGAGACTAGAAAAGTTTGACTGTATTTTAAGTCTAGTATCTAATCCTAAACCATGTGCTGCACTCAAGTTTAATCTCAGGAGTCTTAGGGGAAGAACCAATGGGACTTCTGTAAAGGGATGTCACATCAAAAACCTCCTGGTACAACCAACAACTTTGTACAAGAAATATCTGTCAAATGCTGTTAAATACTGATACCAAATTTTAGTTCAGGAAGTGGCTGAATTGCTGAAAATTATGCTGGTAAAATTCCATTCAGTGTTTCCTGTGTTTCACCCCCTTCCTTAAGCATGGATTGCTGGCTGCTGTCAGGAGCAAAGTGCTAAGTTTACCTTGGGAATGGACTCAGCATGGCCATTCTTAGGTTCTTAGGCTATACTGATAAGTACTCTTTATTTTTAAAAATGTAGTTGAAATACCAGTTACAAATGAGATTTTGCTGTGCTGTGCTCACTACCTTTGTGTTGTGCTCTGCTTTTTCTGTTCTCCTCCTTACTTCTCCGTTCAGGTGGGCAGGCACAACACACGAGCTCCAAGTCCTTGCTTGTCTCTCTGGATACAGAGGGTCATCTTTAGGGCTGCCTGTTGCAGTCTGACCCTTCTTGCAAAGACTTAGTCCACCCTTACCAGTTGGTCACTCTTGACAGATGGTCATGATATGATTGCAGTGTGGCAAATATCAGTATGTGCAACTATATATTCACTCAGATAAAATATGGAAATAAAATATCAGAAGACTGATTTCTAGCTTTTCAACAGCTCTGCATACTTAAGGGCATTATTTTTTTGTCTATAAATAACAGTAAGAAATGTTTCTCTCCTAGGTGTGCCTTGCAATAGCTCATTATTCTCAGCCAACAGATCTTCAGCTTCTCTTTGCATTTGAGTATGTTGGGGAAATGTATCATAATCTAGGTAAGTATGAAAGTACTTTGATTGTGGTTTTTTCCTACTTCGTAATATGTATTTTTAGTAAGACTTCTGTCTGGAACCAGTGGCAAAAAGCATTTGAGGCTTTCTCCAGGGGTAACAAAATCAGCTTGTTCTGCACCCAGCTTCTTACTTATAATGGTTGTAAGTCATTCATTGTGATAGATGTTAACGACCAAAATCAAAAGAAATGTCTTTCCTGTCAGAAACAAAGCCAAAGTACCTATGTCAGCATGACTACTCCTATTTGTCAATCCACGCTTCCATCCTCCTATTGTTTGTCTGCATCGGTGCAGTTAAGTAGCCAGTTAATCTCCCATCAGGCAGGCTTGTTCACCTGCCCTTCTTTTGGGAATAAGTTTCTCTTCTGGTGGTATTGCAGGAGGATTTGTGCAACTTGGGACTCCATACCTTCTTTCCTAGAGGCTTACTAGGCAGTTCTTACCACTCAAAACCTCCACCACCCCTGCTGAGCTGGAGCACACCCTCTCTGCTCAAGGCCAGTCTCCACCTGAACCTTGTCAGTTAGGTAAGCCTGAACCAGATCCTTTGGAACTTGATTTCTAGTGCAATGCTGTGCGGTCACTGGAGTGTTCCCCAGCCAATACACCACTGAAAGCCTCAGCTCTGCCTCACAAGCCTCACTCAGAGAAGGTGCCATTGCTGGAGTTCTGTGGTACTGAGAGATTCACTCAGCAGCTGGCACTAGAAACCACTGACCTGCCTGTTACCAAGTATGAATGTTGTGGAATTATGAGAGCAGGCCTTCAGATTTGCACAGAAATGCATGTTCTTCGTGCAGGTGCCTCCGTGACTGCCCTGTGCATGCACGAGAACAGCTGTGCATGTGATCATGCTGCACACATAAGTACACAGAGAACTTCTTACCTCCTACAACTCTGGCAGTTATTGAGGTCCATGTACTTTAGTGTTATAAAGGACTAGAGAGGAAGCCAATTTGCAGATAAAATTGCAATACAATGTTAGTCTGTTACAAAGTTGCCTTTACTCTGTCCTTAAAATACCATTTGCTGTATGGAAAAATACCTAGTGGAAGAATTACATACGGTGGGTAAAATGTTCCTCTGGAGCAGCAGACCAGAATGGCAAAGGATAGTTGTTCTGCTATCCTGCAGCTGCTGGAGAAGAGAGTTTGAAATACTTTTGGGTTGGGGGATTGTTGTTATTGTGAACTCGGGTTTGTAGCAGAGATCTCTGGCTTTACTCTTGCAATTCCAGCACTGTTTTATGACTCTCTATCCCTCCTACTCCCAGTAAAGTAAGAGGTGAGATACTGTCTTTGTGCTTCCTGAGGAACATAAAAAACCTGCATTGCTCTGGTGTACATCGTTTTTTTCCCAGACTATATTTGATAGTTACATATCTTGCTATTGAACAGTAAAATTGTGACAGTTTTTGTTAATTATCATATTTCTCTGCTTCTGTCTTTGAAGAACTACTTCTTTCTGATTTTAGTCCAGTTTTCTTCAGAAAAACATAAGTAGTCAGAGTACCAGTGCAAGAATGAAATGGGTAGATACAGAAGGTAGGCACTGCACAGTCAGTGAGATGTCAGCAGAGCCCTGACGCTGTTCCTGCTGTGGCTGGGCAGGCTCTTGCATCCTTACAGACTAGAACAGCCAAAGATCAGAGCTTTCACGGGGGAGCTGAGAGAGTTGTCTCAGTTTGTTCCACCTTCCTCTAAAAATTTACTTCCAAGTGTCAAGAAACAAAAAAGCAGTTTCCTTTGACATTGCTGAGTGTCTCCTTGGCACCTAAAGAATGACCTGCAAAAGAGATCCTTCTGTATTAGCAACAAACTATAGAATCTCCTGGTCCCTTGACACAAAATGGTAGACCATCTTTTTTTGTGGATATAAATATAGATATATAAAAACATATTTTAACCTGGCCTTCCATCTGTTTTATTTGCTGTTAATACAGCAGTCATTTAAAGTTGTTGAAATGATATAAGTTTTATTTTTCTTTCTTCACAAGGTACCTATTAAAGGGTAGCCTGTAAAGGCTTTATTTTTTTAAAATGTTGTGAACTTTGGCATATTGAAGAAAGAAATTGCGTGACTGGACGTAACATTTGTTCCTGAGTGTTAATATGTGTCTTGCTTTCTATCAAGCAGCACAGCATACCAATTTGATGTTTTCTATTGAAATTGTGGGGGAAAAAAATGCATTTACATCTTCATGTATCACCAAGCTGTCATTAAATCACTGCTTTCTTGTAATGCAAAAATAGGTAATATTAGTCCTGATGCTAGTGGCTCATTCTTGCAATTAGGAAGGTGAGGGGGTTAATTTTTTTCTTTCCTTTTTTTTTTTAATGTGCATTGATGACTTTTCTCTTCCTAGCAAAGGTGAATGGCATAGACCCAGGAGGTGGTGGCGGTGGCATCGGCAGTGCCAGTGCTCAGCAGACACCTTTGTTTGAAACCTACTCTGACTGGGACAGAGAAATCAAAAGGACTGGTGCATCTGAGTGGAGAGTGTGTTCAGTCAACGAGGGGTATATGATTTCTACTTGGTAAGTTGCTCTGGGACACTGGGGGAAGGGAATTGTACTGCCTTGGAATTGTCCTGTCAGGAATTGTCTTGTCTCCTCTGCCACAGCCTCCGTCCCACCCACCCGTGCTCTGCACCTCACAAACGGGCCGCTCCCTGGAGGGCTCCCCAGCTGAAATATGCTGCAAGCCTTGTCATTAAAGGAAATGTCAGATTTTGGCATCTGTGGCTTTCATGCTTTTGTCCTTCTCTGTGGAACATACACGTTTCCAAACAGCTCTGTCTGAGCCGTGCCTGTGCCATCACATGGGACAGCACTGCAGGGGCTGCTGTGGGGCAGTTTGACTGAGCTGCGGCAAGAGAGAAGCTGGTAAAAAACACAGGGAAAAGTGACCTTTCTTTATTGTATTTTTTTCCCCAAGCCTTCCAGAATATTTTGTGGTTCCATCTTCCTTAGCAGATCAAGACCTTAAGCTATACTCCTACTCTTTCATTGGGAGGCGAATGCCAGTAAGTGTTGTCTTTATTCTGTTGCTGTTCTTGATCATTGTACAATATGAATCTTAAAGTTGTGTTTGCCAATGAACAGAGTTCTGTGTAGCATTAATAAGATATTTCTACAGAATAACACTAACCTATATTATTTTGTTCTTTCTTTTGTGTTTCTTTCCCCATATCAGTTATGGTCCTGGAATCACCCTAACGGGAGTGCCCTTGTAAGAATGGCCAACATTAAAGATGTATTGCAGCAACGAAGGATTGATCAAAGGTAAGTGATTAGTTGAGTTATTCCCTAATCAGAGGGTCAGAATAACACAAGTGGTGACTGTAACATACAGCAGGGATGGATATTTGCTTCATAGTGTTGTAGTGTGGGGACTTCTGAGACACTGTTCTCTGGATGTAGTTCTGGCACAATTTCTGTTCAAGGTCCACCTCAGTTTCAAATACTGAATAACTTTTCAGATTTTAGGGCATGTTTATTTTTTAGGCGGCTCATCATTAGGTGGCAGAATTTACTGATAAAGGATCAGATTTACTGTAACACAGCCTACATTGGTGGAGATTTTCTTACCTGCTTCGGCAAGACAGTGGGAACACTGGGAAATACAGTTCTGTAGATTTAGTGCCACAATGCACTTGGTATTTCTGTGAAACATTTGTCATTCGCTGTCCTTGATGAAAGATTGAAGGCATTTAGAGCCTTGCATAAGTACTTTACTAACTTGTTATTTTTTGTTCTTTGGTTTAATTTGTAGAGTGAATTTCTGTAGTAGTGCAAACACCTGCATTGTGCGAACTGGAGCTCTGAGTTTTATTTGACACCTTGTCAGATTTCCTGACTTCACAAGCTTTATATATGTTCTGTTTATTTAGCATAGATAAGTCTTATTACAAATGATGGAAAATTAAAAATTGAATAGCACTATTTAACTGTCAGTCAGCCTCAGATTTTCATTTCCCAAATGCATTGTTTTCATGTTCCAGCATTTCCATTTCTTCGTTTTGTGACTAGCACATACCAAAAATCTCTGAGTCGTTAGGTTTATGGCAGGAGCAATATATCTCCTGCATACAAACTAGGAAACTTTTTTTTTTGAGAATAAGGTGCATGTTTTATGTGGTTCTAGTTTGCAGTTAAAGACTGTGGCACATTTCTTGAAAGACTGTTTCTTTCCTCTGCAATAACAAACCTGCTGATTCTTTTCCTGACATAGGATTTGTAATGCAATAACTCGGAGCCATCCCCTGAGAAGTGATGTTTACAAATCTGACCTGGACAAGTGTCTCCCGAACATCCAGGAAATCCAGGCTGCACACATCAAACTCAAACAGCTCTGTGTCAATGGTAGGCTGGACTGGCCTTCTCTCACGGTGGTTATTTTCTTGAAATGCAGTGAATTTGAATAGATCTGGCTAACAGGGATAGTTATTTGAAGTTGTTCTGCAATGTCATTACTTTCCCTGTTGCAGAGCCTTTTGAAGAAACCGAGGAGAAGTGGCTGTCCTCACTGGAGAATACTCACTGGTTAGAGTACATTAGGTTTGTACCACTAATAGGATGGTTTTAATGAACTGTGGAAAGCTTTCAGCAGTGTAAATAAGCAATCCATCATTTGGAAGATTCTCTGTTTTAATATATGAGTTATATAGAGAGATATATAGATATCCCAAATATTTTTTCTTGTTGAATGTGGACCTGTTATATTAACTGTTAAATCACTTTCCTTTCCTGTCTAGATCATTTCTTAGGCATTCTGCAGAGCTTGTCTATATGATGGAGTGCAAGCACGTCTCTGTAGTTCTGCAAGGTAATGCAACGCAGAGCATCCTGTAATTCTGAGCATTACTGTGATAATGGAGATAAACAGATTTAGATAAAATCAACTGTAATCTTTAAACATAAACCCCATCAGTTCTAAATATGTTAGTCATTTGGGGAACTAGAAAGGAAAATAATTTTGTTATGTGTCTGAACTGTAGTATAGTCCTTAGCATCAAAGGAATATTTTGTTCTTGATGAATGCACTGTTGTGCTGAGTACTGCAGGAACCCTTTCTATACTATGAGTCTCAGTTTAAGAAAAAAGAGGTGTGTTTTTCTTCTGGTTTGTTTTTTTTTTTTTTAACTAGGAGAACAATTACAGCAAAAAAAGGGATCTTTTAAAAGAAATTAGAATAAAAACACTAGACCTAGGTGCCTCTTCTTGCTCTTAGAGATCCAATTCTGTACATGTTCATATATACCTTATGTGTTGTATTCATTCTGTATGTTATTCACAGAGGAAGAGGGACGGGACCTGAGCTGTGTTGCTGCTTCTCTCATCCAAGTCATGCTGGATCCCTATTTTCGAACAATTGTTGGATTTCAAAGCTTAATACAGAAGGAATGGGTCATGGCAGGATATCAGTTTTTAGATAGGTGCAACCACTTAAAGAGATCTGACAAAGAGGTAAAAATGAGTTGTATTTGCATGTGATAACAGTATCTGGTAGATATCATCCTGGACATTTATTTGTACAGAAATCTAAAAGTAAAAATACGTTTTAATACTTTGCAATCTCATTAAAATAATGTCAGAAAATAAGTCTTCGTCCAGGGACCTTTTCTTTATCCTCTGTAGCCATGTGAGAATCAGTGAAACACCAGGTGCATTGAAATGGATTTTTATTTTGCTTCAGTGTTCCACATGAAAAGGTCCCACTGTTACAAACACCAGCACAGCTCACATTTAAAATTAAAATAAAAGGAGGTGAGGAGTGGGTTTACAGGAGGTAGTTTTGCTGTTTGTTTTACCAGTGATCTCTGCTCTCATCCCTGGTGTTCTGGATGCAAAGTCTGATCCCTGTGGAGTGCCCTCAAAGCTTTGGGCTGGCACAGAGGCACCGCAGGCTCAGAGCTGGCACAGCTCCAGGGGGATCTACAGAGGGTAGTGCAGGGCTTCATTCCCAGCATTTCCAGCCAGTCTTATTTGGCCTCTTCATTGCAAAGGAGAGACTTGTAACTGCGGTTGGAAGAACAGAGGACTCAGGTTAGCAACCTTTTTCAGGGACAGTGCCCAAGAATCTTAGAAAAGCAATATCCTCAAGTGTGGAGCTGACAGACAAACCGAGGACACTGAGCACCGAGAGGAGAAAATGGGGGAAGGGATAAAGAAACTATTGCCCAGAGGGAAATAGTGAGAAAGCTGATATTTGACCATTGCAAGGGATATACTGAAGATTGAAACTGGGAAGAGGAAAATGTTTCTAAAGCTATACGTAAATGATGGTTTATGCTTTTGCCATTCATGGGCTGCTATGGAAAGAGCTCAAAATGTAGTGAGAAGTTAACATGGCTGAATCATAAGCTTTCTGGTCATTTTAAACAAGAAGGAAGTATATAAATTGCAAATACAAAGCCAAGAGGTAAGGAAGGCTCATACAAGCACTAATTTGGAAATGATGAGGGACATCCAGGTGGCAGGAAGTATTTTTGCAGCTACATAAGTATGAAGGAAAGAAGAGACAAGGGAAAGCTGTGCAAAGGTAGTTCTGATAAAGCAAGTGGCTAAAGAGGAATACAGGGTGTTATAGTTGCATAGAACCATAAAAAATACAAGACTGCAAATAGTTTACCCTGTTGAGTAATGTACCAGAGATGCAGCTAAATACCCTAATGAAGCAATAACTGCAAACAAATTAGTATGAACTGGGAGAAGCCTTTGTTAAATCTAATAATCCCCTGCTTCTTTTCCCAGTCTCCTTTGTTCCTGATGTTTCTTGACTGCGTGTGGCAGCTGCTGGAGCAGTACCCAGCAGCCTTCGAGTTCTCCGAGGTGTACCTGACCCTGCTGCACGACAGCGCCCGCATCTCGCTCTTCGGCACCTTCCTCTTCAACTGCCCCCACCAGCGCGTGAAGGAGAGCACTGTGAGTGAGTGGGAGCTCTGCCACCTGCCCTGTGCCCCTCTGGAAACAACAGCGCCCCAGCTCAGTTGCTCCTGTGTGCTTTGCAAAATGTCACACTCTGTTTGGGCAAAACAGTCAGGTCCCCAGATGAAGGTGATCAGAATCTCCTTTCAGGTGATCTTTGCAGAGACAGGAACTGTTCAAGAAGAAAGTCTATTGAATTTCGGTTTTTTCCTAGGAAAGCATTGCTATTGTACGTTATTGTTTGTATTCCTCTAGGAAGCAAATCTATATCTGGAACTGATAAAGCAGAATGACAGGCAATAAATAGAATTTCATGCTTCAGGCAAACTTTGAAATCTCTTGACGTAATTGTTTAAATAGTTGAAAAAGTTGGAAATACTGCATAAAGTTCAGATAGCAATGCACTATGAAAGCACTTAGAAGACTGAACACTTAATTTGTTTTTGAAAACTGAACAGAACCTTGTGTAGAAAACATTTGATGGCTGATAAAAGTGAAACATTCTTATTTTGTTAAATATTTTCCCTTTAAAATTTTAGGTAGCCACCTTACAAAGAATTAGAGCATTGAGAAACTGTTGGTATATTCTCAAAATCACAGTTTGGGGATTAAGAGTAAGCAAACAATATCATTGAAAAGTAACTGCCCAAATGAGAACAGGGCACAGCTGTTTTCTCCAGCTGTCTCGCTGCTCTGTTGTGCTGCCTCTAAATGACATCCCTGAATGTTAACTTGCAGGAATTCGCTATAAGCAAAAACATTCAGCTGGGTGGTGAGAAAGGCCTCAGATTCCCTTGTGTTTGGGACTGGTCTCTTCAGTTCTCCAGCCGGGACCGCCTGCTGTTCCACAACCCGCTGTACGTGGGGAAGAGCGCGCCGTGTGTGCACAACGGGGCCATGAAATCCTTCAAACGCTCCAAGGTAACTGAGCTCTCTGGGCAGGGCAGGGCAGGGCTGGGCCTGTGCCCACCCACAGGGGCTCCTGCTGGGAGAGCTGCAGGTACAGCCTGTGTTACACCCGTGGTTTAACAGGAGGAGCCTCAATTTCCTTGGCTTCCCAGCCAAAAGAAATGATTTTCTGTAGAAGCAAAGATGTAAATTGTCGAGCCTTGTGTTCTGGGACATCTTCTGGGACATTTGCATAATCTCACCTATGGAAAAGTGATGGCATGCCACTTTTCCCCCCCCGGGTTGTCAGTATGTTCAGTAAATACTGATTATAAGTCAATAATTTGTTGCTACAAAACATATGTATTTCTTTCGAAGGGCCCAAGTGGCCACAGTTTTCCCTGTGAGCCCTGCAGTAGTGACTCACAAGCTCAGAAGTGTTTAAAGGTCGCAGCGTTTCTCTGGATGATGCACTCTGGCAGCTCGGGGAAATCTGCTATTCAAATGAATGTAAAACTGGAAAATTACCAGTGTTTCTTTTCTGCAGAAAAACTACAGCTCCACATTGCGAGGTGCTCCCCCAGCATTAAAGAACGGGATCATCGGGGAGCAGGAGTTCCTTCCAAGGAGAAACTCTCTGATACTAAAACTGAAGCCAGACCTTTTCCAGCCAGCAGAGAGCCCAAGCCACAGCAGGGAGCAGTTCTTCAGGGACTGGTTTGCAAAGCCTGTGGACCTGCACGGCCTGATCCTGCCCCACCTCTCTGCAACACAAATCAAACTGTGGAAACTGTGCTACTTCCGCTGGGTTCCCGAGGCCCAGATCAGCCAGGGTGGCTCCGTCACCGCCTTCCACAGGGTGTCTGTGCTGGCGGATGAAGTGGACATGTTGAACCGGAACCTTCGGCACTACAAAAGCAACTCTTCCTTGCAAGGCCACTGCACAGAACTGGATCAAAGCAGAATGTACTTCAGAGCCAGTGGTTTCAATGACACCTCGGGTGCCCCAGACTTTCTCTCCTCCTCATTCCCCTTTTCTCCTGTAGGGAACCTCTGCAGACGGAGCATTTTGGGAACACCGTTAAGCAAATTTTTAAGTGGTGCCAAAATCTGGCTGTCCACTGAGACGCTGGCAAATGAAGACTGAGGTGGTGAGATTTAAAGGTTTGGGGAGAATACAGCATATCATTTTGTCTTTTCTAAGTTAACACTGCTAAATGCGGCATTGAAAGCTGTAATAATTTTTATATACAAACCTTACGTAAGTTTTGCACAAATATTTAAAAGCAAGGCAAGTCATGCTTCAAATCGCACAATTTTGTCTTCAGGAGTTCTCGTCTGCTGGGGCTTCTGGTCCCTAACTCCCCCTGTCCTTTGGGGTTTGGCTCATTACATGCGACGGAGAGCTTCATTAGCTAATTGAGAGGCTTGGTGTGGTCATTAATGTGGGTTCTGCTTGAAATATCCTTTTTTCCCAGACAGTGACTGACATGACCCTTTGATAAAACAGCTTGGAAAGCCAAAGCAGTGCAGTGGACATGAAATGTCAGCTGAAATCTGGGAACATACTATTTTGTCAGACAGCCTCTTCAGGAAGAATACTTTCATGCATAGATACAACACACTGATGTTCTGTGACTTATCACCCTACACATCTGCTAATGCAGTGTGTATCCATTAAAGGGGTTGTTCCTTTTTCTTTCTCTCCACAAAATGTGTTCGTGAACAATTAGTCGGATTTGTGCTCTTTGTCATGAGCTTGACTTCAGACTGTAGAAATCCAGGTCAGGACAATGCACTGTTAACCTTAAAACATTTTACTGTAGATATGGTATTGTAGTAGCTTTAGAAGTGCCTTTAATTGGGAGGACACAGTAGCAAGATTACTCTAATGCAGCTGACAGCCCCCAACTTTTCACAATAGATTGTTGTGGCAAGTTCTTGTTCCATCTCCTGCCTCCCCCTCTCAATTTCTGGAAACAACGGGCGTCCAGATGAGATTCTCACTTTTTATATAGGCATCTCAAATCCTCTGCATTATATCCCTGCCCAGATTCTCATCCCTGCCAACCATCTCATTTTTTTGTAGGATAAAGTAGCTTTCAGCAGAACTCCCCCCTGAGCCAAGCTGGGCTCCAGAAAGGAGGGCTCAGTCGGTGTTGGGAGCCCCACGAGGGGTGGTGGTGCTGCAGTCACTGTGGGCAGGGGCTGGAAGAGCAGGAAGTGGTGCCTTCTTTTTGCATTTGTGCACAGCCACACGGGCAGTGCAGTGGACAAGGACTGCTTGAGGGATTTAAATCCAACAGCTTCCCTCTGCTTAATGCACCATCCTACTTGCTGTGCTAAAACCTTTTAAATGATACCTCTCCCTGGATGCTGTGCCAGAAAAGGACTCAAGTTTCCCAGGGAGAAAGGCAGGAGTGTAAAGAATATTGGGAGGGTGGAGGAATAGTGATGGTCATTGTCAGAGGTTGAGGCTTCTGTCATCTGCCTTCCCAGCGAGGCTGTATTTCACAGTAAACCATATCTGTGTAAAACACAAATGCTGTTGAACTCACACTGAGCCCCTGCTCGCAAGTGAAAGCACCAAAGGCCTTACATGATGGACTAAAAGCTGTTCTCAGTTTTTGTGGGGAAAGAAGAAAGCTGCATGATGGTAATAGACAGTATAGTAGAGCTTAAAAAAGGTGGAGAGGGACAGGATTTGGAGACCTTTTTTTGTTTGTCTGACTGAACTGGTCTTCAGCACAGCCTGAGTCACTGAGCACAGGTGGGATGTCTGAGGTCGCTCAAGGATTTGTTTCAGAGAACTTGCATCTGGAGTGGCCTTGCAGGTGCTTTGTGCTGGAAGAGCCCAGCACACACAGCACCGAGTGTCCCAGGCTGTTCCCGCGCTCCAGGGCTGTGCTGGCACTGCTGGGGCTGCAGAGGGATGGGCAGGGCCATGGCCAGGGTGAGCTGTGTGGGGTGGGTTCCTTTGGGAACTCCCAACCCCATGTTTGTGAAAGCTCTGTGTGCACACACAGCCATGTCTGCACGTGGGCACAGGGCTGTTGGCAGACAAAGCCAGATCCTTCTGGTCAACTGTTTGTGAGGAAAAAACGTGTATTCACCTCAATTGCCTAATTCTGCTGCAAGATGGGCTGAACATGTTACATGGTCCACAAACCAGTTGAGTTTATTTCCAAGCTTGCTGGAGCAGTCATCTCACTGGGTCAGTTCATTATTCAAACATTTGGTTTAGTTTGCTTTTGTGATTTCCTTTTTCCCATTAGCTTACTGCTTTCCCTGGCCTGATACTTGACATAACAGACCTCAACCTGTGTGTTTAGTGTCTTTTGGTACCAATTTTTTTTCTTTTAAAATGACAGTTGACTATATATATTTTTTTGTCTTTAAAAGTATAACTTCTTTGGTTTAAAGGTACCAAAAATGTGTAAATAAATACCCCACAAAAGCAGCTGGTGGAATTAAAAAAAAAAGTTAAGGCTAGTACCCTTTGGGGGAAAAATTGGGTACTATATTTAAACAGAATTGTCTTTTATAAGGAAATTACAGACATTTTTACATTTCAGTTCTAAGATGTGTACAGATGCTGCAGAGGATCTTTGTATTTTATATATATAGCATGGGAGGGGGCTAAAAATAATATGCCTTTAAAATAAACAAAACCTGTTGAAATATGTATTTGCCAAACAGATTTAAAAAGACATTTTATACCATTCAAAAAGGGGAGTCAGGTAAGCAGAGGGTGAGAGGGGGCACCTCCTGCAGAGAGGAGGGGAAGGGATCCACCTTTCCCTGGACATGTGGACAAGGTTCTGCTTCTGGTGTCCACAGCCTTGCCTTCCAAGGAACCTGAGCAACTGCTGTGTCTGTGTGAGTGAGTGTGTGCCTGTGGGTATTGCATCTTCCTCTTAAGTTACACAACACTTTTTAATTTACTTTTGGAAGACAGGTACTAGATGTTAATTTTGAAATATCCTCCACTACACAGTTGCCTTATCAAGTCAGCAGGGACTGCTCTAATAACTTTCAAAAGCAATTTTGGGGTTTGAGTAGGTATCTTTAATGTCTATGTACAGAATACTGACATGCAAGTGTGTACATATATATGTGTGTATATATATATACGTACACATTTTCAAATTGTAATTTCTGTTCACCATTTAAAACAAGATACTGTTAATGCCATTTTGGTGTGGCAAGAATAGAAAAGCTACCAAGAAGCTCATCTTTTTTTGTCTGTTGGTAGAAAAGCTGGGTTATTCCAGCTGTTCCTTGCTGTGCCATGGCTTTGTACCACCCTGTAACCCCTGCAGGGAGCTCAGAAGCTGAGGGGCTTTAGTGACCCTCAGTTCCTGCGAGGTGGAGCTGACTGTGGTGGTACCTTCGCCCTCCCTTCACTGCTGGATCAGAGACGTGGCTTTCCTTCCAGAAATGCAGGGGGGGTGTCTGCCCAGGCCTGCAGTACCACTGATATAACTGCCTTGTATTCTTATGAAAATGTAGCAAGTTGGGCAAATGTTTTGGTTACTCTCAGAGGGAAAAACATTAAAACCAAAAAAATTCTAACATATATTTAAGCAAAGGATGAAATCTTAAATTTGCCTCTAACAAAGAGACAGAAATCTGTACCTCAAATTGCTGTAGGCAGTAGGTTTCTAATGCTGTTGCTGTGATGGTTTAGAGTTCACCATTTCAACTGAAACTAAAACCTTTGTGCCTGATAATGATTTACTGAGTAAAACAGCAGTGGCAGGAAGATGATAAAATCCTGATGCTGAGTTGTGAATGTGAAGTAAATTAGAGTCAATAAAAGTTCATACCTTTCCACAGTGAACCTCAGGCAGTTTTCTTTCACTTCCTCTAACAATAAAATAGGGGGGGTGTTTGTTTTTTCCAAGAAAAGCAGGGACACTGTGCTGAAGAAAGATGATTAATAAAAATAATGTGCAAATTATCTTTATTCCTTGCTATATTCTATTACAGTGTCTGCTGTTTGCATGGTAAGCAGAATTTCTAAAAGCAGTATGAGAATGAAGACTCCAGAGAAAAGATGTTGGCTGCGTGTTAAAATTGAGAGAAACCTGTAGGATTCTGGTGTCCTAAAAGGGAAATAATCTTTTTAATTGTATTCCAAGTGACTGACATATTTCTGAGTGAGCAAACATCAATTAATGTGGGGTAAAACTGACTGTAATGAGTGACACATTGCAAATGAGTGTGGTCACGTTGGCACTGACCAACTCCCATCTCTACCAGAAACATTTCCCTTTACACAGGTAATACAGATATTCACAGCAGAAGGGCCTGTTAAATAAATTGTCCTTTCATACAGAGCAGAGCATTAAAACAGCATTGAAGTTTTATGCCAGCACTGAGCACCTGTATTTTTTTACATTCAAGTGCAAAATTCAAACACATAGACTAAGTGGGGGCAAGGAGAGAACCTGACACTCCTGTAAAGGTGCTGTGCTTGCCTTGCAAGGAAACTTGCACACTATGATGAATTTGAGCTACACAGGCAACACAGAAGTGACCAGGACTTGATGCCCCAGATTTTATATTGAACAGGATGTTCTCAGGAGGTACAAGTGTGATAGCAGCTGTTTCTCTTCACTGGGCAAACCCTCTGGATTACCTTTCATAGAATAAGTTATGAACTGTGGATGGAAGAGAAAGGCTCTGCTCTTCTGAACCCAAAGTGACGTGCAGTAAATCAGTCTTCACAAAGTGCACCGTAGAATGCTTTGTGCTAAAAAGGACACAGTAATGTTCCAAGGAGCCAGAATTTTAGAAGAAACTATTTTTAATAAGCAGCAGGCAGTGGTGTGTTACCCCCCTGGTCAAACCTGTGTGTCAGCTGAGGCGTTGGCTCCTGCCCCCCACGGCCTGCACGTGACACACCTCCACGGCCGCTCCCAGGCGCTGCAGCTCGCTCAGCCACAGCATCTGCTTGGGCGACAGCCGGTCCTTGGGGCCCTTCACCTCCACCAGCTGCGAGCAAATGGCCATGGTTACTAGTGTGCCTGTGCAGGAACTGCAGCATCATTCCCACAGAATAAGTATTATTTTACAGCTGATACATAGTAAATAGCCACCAAAACACAGAGGCCCTGGTGAATGAAGATCTCTCATACTCAAAAATCAAGCACCTGCAACCTCATCTGTTCCAGCTGAGACTGACACAACTTACTCAGGTGTTCCAGAGAACTAATTTCTGCTATTCAGCTCTCTTTTATAAAAACAAGTTGCTTCAGCAGATGAGATGTCCAGTAGTCTTCTAGTATCTATTCCTCTACCATGCAAAACACCAACCATGACTGTTTACTCAGTTTTTGTGGCAGACTCTGACATAGTTCTCAAAGACTCAAACAGTCAAGTTTTAAGTGGTGCCAGTCGAACTCCTTGCTACCCACAGTCAGTGGGTATGACTGATTGATAACACTGCTTTACATTAATTTTAATCAAAGATCTATTCCACACCAACACAGCCAGTGTTCATTCCTGCTGATTCTGATTATGCCCATTAAAGTTACAGCACAGTGTGATGAAATAGCAGAGAACCACCCACTGCTAGCCGTGGCTGCTGGCAGCCCAGCAGCAGCTTTACCTGCACCACGACAGGAGGGCACAGTTTGGATGGGCTGACAGCTGGCAGTTCCCAGCTGAGCACTATTTCCATGCCCTCCCAAGGTACCTTGAAGTGCTGGGTGTGTGTGCTCCACACGACCAGGTCAGGCAGACCTCCCCGGCAGTGGCGCAGGTCTTTGGACAGTCGCCTGAAAACACCGCTCAGGAACATTCCTCCAAGGCAGGAGACAAGGCTCTGGAAGAGAGGCTTTGGTGGTTGGTTGGATTTGTCTTTAATTTCCTGTAGAGCCGTTTCCCAACCCTCATGAGACTAGTGTATGGCCCAGCTCAGTTTTTTGTTTAGTCTGGTGTAACAGGAAGCATAAGTAGATGTTTTCTACAGCAATTTCCTGCTGTGTTCCCAACTGCCCTTGCAGGAAAAGTGACCATATCAGAAAATTGTAACAGTACTTGTGCAAGGACTTCAGCCCAAGTCTCCCTATTCCCAACTCCTCCCTCCCACCACTCTCCCTCCCGCAGTGCCTCAGTACAACCTGTGACACACCATGGCCATGTGTGATCGAATGACAACCCTAATCAGAGGCCCCATGCTGGGCAACAGTTACTTACCTGGGCTTGCTGGAGGGAAATAAAACGTCCCCAGCTCACTAATGCTGCTGCTTTTCCCTCCTGAGTGGTCCAGACATCAGCAATCAGCTTTGCCAGAGTCTCTGGGGAGGCTGAGTGCAGCTGCTGCAGTCTGGCCTCGATGACATCCCTCCTGCTCTCATAGAAGCTGTCAGTGTACAAATCCAGGGGGGACGTCTGTGTAAAAACGTAAATGCAGCTCTAAGGAGCTGCCAGCACAGTTGGCAGAAAGACAATGCCCTACTTCATACTTTTCTTAACTACAAATTCACTCAAACACTGATCTAACTTGAACATGTCCACCAGATAAACATTTATTAAATTACATTTTTTACACCCAGCTCTGAACATCCCAGTGTGTAAAGCCCTTGCAGCAGTTCAGGTTTGAACACTGCTGGAACAGGCAGTACCCAAGTGCTGGGCCAGCTTTTCAACAGCAGATGCAGAGTGCTTAGCAAATGGCACATTTCAGCCTTACACAACCTGCTGCCACAGATAATCCCACAAAAATACAGCCTGGTGATGACTGAATGAGGGGTGAGCTATCAGCTCATCCTTGTTTATGCCTGATGCTCATGATAGCTTTGCTCTGAATTAATAAGGAAAAACTAGTTTAAAAAATAAATTTGCAAGCGATCTGTAAATACTGGGTTTGTAATAAACACATAAACACACAAGTTTTGGGGGTTTGGCTTTTCATTTTTTTTTAAGTAAGTATAATATGCATATAAGATTGTATGAAAGGTATTTAGAAAGGCAAGCTCTACAGTAAATGGTAGTTTGCACTGACAAAGAACACCTGCTTCTAACACAACATTCATAGACCTTCAGCATCTGACAAGACCAGCAGATACTCCACAGAAGGAGCCACTGGTATGAATTCTATGCCACAGTTTTTTTAAGGCCTTTGGGGCTACAGCAGTGCCCTTCCTGCCTGTCTATGAGCCGGGGGGGGGTTCAGCTCAGCCACAAGGATTTCTACTCCTACCTCAGACTGCTGAAGAAACATAAAAAAGTAAGAGGGGGGAAGAAAAGAATAACCCATATACTTCACCTCTAACTAAGGAAAGCCTTTCAAAGTTACCTGATAGGAATTTCTGAAAACATCGGGTATGTCATCCATGAAAATGATATCCCACATTAGAATCCCATACAGTGTAAGAAACGTTGAGCCTTCCCCATGAATACCTAAAGGGCAAAATTCAATGAAAATGGAAACATCAATTTCTACAGCAAGGAAGAATGAAACCACCCTGACCCAAAGCAGGAACACCACGCTCAGGTTCCTGCCCAGCTGAAGTCAGCACATGTTCCCATTACAGTAGAACACTGGAAATCCACTTTATTCCTGCCCCCTCTGCCAGCACCTGCTGCTGCCTGGCCAGGGGCCTTCAGTCACAGCCCAGGGCTGGATCACTGCCCTTCCACAACAAGGCTTACTTGGACAATTTTTAAATACACAACTTTTGTAACATTAAAAAGCAATATCTTGACACCAAATATAACTACATAAATGTATCTGTATATATGTATGTGTATATGTGTATGTACACATATATGTGTGTATACATGTGTGTATATATGTAATATACCCCATTTTTATATAACTTTTTTCCTCAATATATAACATTTTTGAGTAATACTGGTTGAGCATTAGTCTGGTAGAGCTGACTGCTTTTCCATCATCTTTTTTTTTCATCCCTGTCACTTATGAAACACAGGGAGACACATATATGTAAGAATATATATATATAAAACACACAGAGATACATATATATATAAACATAAGAAAACAATTTTTCACTGTGAAGGTAACAAAGCACTGGCACAGGTTGCCAAGAGAGCCTGTGGAGTCACCATCCTTGGGAATACTCAGAAGCTGGCCATGGTCCAGGGCAGATGGCTCTTGAGCAGAGGGTTGGACCAGGTGGCTCCCAGAGCTCCCACCAACCTCCACCTCAGCTCTTGAGGTATGTTCTGTTCTTAGTCTATTAGTACAACATATTATCTATGATATTATATTTAATGTTACGTGTCATACCTATAGATCCCAGGATAACTGTGCTGTCTGTACTATATGATATATAGCGTTTGTGTATTGTACACGTATGACACATCACACAGATGAGAGAGAGGAGACCATGTGTGCTCTGGGATGTGTTTACTGCTGGACTGGGAATTCTGGTTCCTCAGGCCCAGCTCTAAATCACACATGGCCATTGTGTCCTCAAAACTGTGCTGAGCCACGAAGATCGATGGTGAGAGGGTGGGAGTGAGGAACTGAGGGGGGATTTCAGCACAGTTCTTCTAAATTCTAAATATTGTCACCTTCTCATTTACCCTTTTCTGATACAGCCACTTTTCCTGCAATGGTATTCTGGAACATATCAATAATATAAAACTATATTAAAATATCTATTTTATATAAAGATACAAATTTTATCTTAAAAAATAACCTGCCTACCTGTTTGCATATTGCTTTTTTTCCTGTAAAACAGATCTATATATTCTTACTTGTCCATGGCTTTTCACAGCTCCTAAGTTGTAAAAATACAGGAACAACTACTAATAGAGCCTTCAAAAAAACTGCCAAGTGTCTTGCTAGTGGTATATACTGTTTTCATCTTCATCTAGTAGCAAAAATCAGTTTTCCTTGGTGACACTCCCTTAAATGACAATGCTAGCATTTTACCCTTAAGAAATAAAATAGCTGTTCACGGGTAAGAAAGGCAAAGTAAGTGATTTTCTATGAAGATAAAGAAGAAATACAAATTTCAAAAACACCTTTGGTACATGAAGGCAGCAAATAATTAAAGGCCAGGAAGCAGGTCAGTTTGAAAATACATGTTAGAGCATTTTGGTAAGGAAATGATGTATTAGAGGCATTTGGGAAAGAAACAAAATCATACTAAAAACTGGTCTAATGAAATCAGCTAAAACTGGTCTATTAACTAAACTGATTAGGAAATAGGTTCTTTACTCCCACAGTTATTTTACTGTAAAATGCCCAAATAAATGGTACTGTTACCCTGATCAAAACCATTCCTCCTGTAATGAGTTAATGCCAGCTCCTCAACTGAGCACATGACTGTGGATACACTGCAGCCTTCACCTCCTTCTTCATCACCAACATCCTCCATGAGAAATACGGATTTTCCCATTCCCGTCTGAGGACACATCTTTCCATTGATTGTAACCTGAACATAATAAAACATCTGGTTACTTTCCAGCATCACATTTAAAAAGCTTTAGCCTAAGTATTTGGATCTTGCCTAAAACACACATTCCTCCTTTTCAGTTTTCTTAAAATCAGAAATAGACTTGTTTCCAAAAATCAACTGAATAAAATTTACCCTGCCATAATTTGTGAAATCATTCAGTTTAGCTTTCATAAAATGGTGAATTTTTCAGAAAAAAAAAATGTCTAGCAAAAATCCTGGGCAGGTGGCAAGTAGCCCTTGTATATGCAGGACCAGGAGGAAAGAATACAGAAGGCTGAGGAGACTGATTCTGGACTGACACAAAGAAGGGCTGTAGGGAGAGACGTGGTGAGGAGAAAGAACAAGTGAGGCTCTGCTCTGACTTTGACCAGACAGAATTATCTTTATGATGGTATGGAAAAGAAAGAGTTAAAAAAATCCATTCCGATATGATGCAGGTGCACCCCACTGAATATTTGCACAATACATACCTTCCAAAGGTTACTAAAAGAACACTGGCATTTTTTAGCCACTAATCTAATGCGACAACATGCTAAGGAAGCTACTATTACTTTTTCTTGCACACAAAATGCTTGGCTTGCAGACACCAGACACAATGCACTGATCTGCTCAGGAAGGCTCTGAGCACATACTGTTACATTAGTGGAGTTTACAGCTGATCAGGCTCATAACACATATAAAGCAATTCAAATTTAACCAGTGTACAGCTGACTAACTTCAGCTATGAAGCTGACCAACGTAAAAGCATTTGCTTATGAGAGGCTTTTGTTTTAGAAACACATTTGTATTCATTTTCCTGCAGTCAGAGGCTGGTGCCCAGCACGTAACAAGACTCTCCCAGGTTATCTTCTCTCGTCAAGAGTAAAAAAGACCTCATGAGTTGTTATTTCCCAGACACCAGCAGCGCCCTTACTCACATGTGGCACATCCTGCACAGTGATGACTGGCAGCTCCTGGAGCAGGCCCCTGACCTGCCTGCAGCTCGGTGAGTCTCTGATGCGCAGGGCCCGCAGGTAGAGGGACAGACGGTGCCCAGTGCGGACACAGGGGTCTGCCAGCCCCTTCCTAATGCAGCCCACGGCCTGGCAAAGAGCAAGGGAACCAGCAGGAACTTAGAAAGACCCATGGACACCTGTCTGCTTAAGAACAATCCATTTAAGGAGCACAGAAAAGTAAATGCAAAAACCAGCATACCAGGCCAACCAAGGATGAGGTACACTCAATATTCATTTTCTTAGGAGGAACTGATTGCCTTGACCTTGGCATTCCTACCAATACGTACATTGTTAGGAGATCCTGTTCCACTGTTCTTTTTATAAGATGTGTTTTGAAAACATGTTTTCAGACAACAAGTGCAGCGTTTCCAGCTTTACAGCACATACCTTCGTAGTGTTTTTCAGGTGCTGATGTAGATTGAGAGCCAGCCGGTCCCACCATCTCCCTCTGCTGTCAGCACAGTACACATCCTGAGCCAGGAGAGCCTGCAGCTCCTGCACCGCCTCCTGTGCAATGGCATGGGATGTTCACTAACTGAGTTACAAAGCCAAGGGCAAGTTAGCTTGTCACCTTCCCTTCTAACTATGGATACTATAAAACTTTGTCTCTTGCACAATTCAAACCTGCTTTTTACTCCACTACCCAATATACTCAATTCAAGTGCATAGATGTATCTTAAAAACTCTGGAATAGAGAAATTTTTATGTAAACTTAAAGGCTAACTGCCAAAATTTTAATATTTTTATCCTTTCTGTATTCCTTATTGTATATGAAAAATATCCGAGTATTACTAGTTGCCTTTTTGCAGAAGCAAAGTCTTTTTCAGAATAATCTGATTTGCTTTAACATATAAATCAGAGACCTTTAGGGATGTAATCTCCCAAGGTGAAGAGGCAGAGATTTCAGAAGACTTCTCTTCTGAGATTTTTCTTACTTAAAAACAATAACCAAATCTAGTGAAACACAGGTATCTTTAAATAATGAAATAAGCATATCTCAGCAATATGGTGTATTACAGATGGTAAATCTACAAAGCATAAGCAGAAATCAAAACAATTTAAAACTTTCTAAAGCAGCACAAAAAAGGGCTCTTTTCCTTTAAAAGTAACCTGTTACTAGAACTATAGCAATCCATGGCAAACATTGTCACTATTTTCCAGCCACATCACAAGAGTAAATTGATGTACAACGCTCCATTAAACACAGATTCCTATTCACCACTCTACCTTATACATGTGAAGTCTCTGCAAAATTTCAACACCGTGAGAAAGGATTCTCGTATACACCCAGCCCACTGTGAAACGTCGCAGATGCTCCGGTAAAACTCTGTGATAGCTAAAAAGTAAGAGCAGCTCAGATCATTTAAATATGGCAATTTGAATTCTTAAAGTTATACCTAAAGCATTTACAAAAATTAAATGCCTTATATATCCAATTGAACTGAAATGAGCATCCCAGCTGCCAAGTCAAGAACCCAAAGGTAAAGCAACAGTTCAGCTTAGGGAGCAAGCTGCCCTTGCACAGTGTATTTTAGATTCCACAGCAGTGGAATTTTTAGTTAATCAGTTTTACATAAGATGCAAAACAGTAACTTATTACATCATGTGTTGTTACTGCCAATCATTCTCACAGAAGTTTATCTTTGGAAACATAGCTGAACAAAAGAAAAAGTCTACAACAGGAATTTCCTGCCATAAAAAGACTAACATCTTTTCAGTAGGCAACTCTATATTTCAAGACAAAGTCTTTTGAATGCCTTACTGAAATAGATTTTTCCACTGTCTTCAGTGTGAAATGGAACAGACTTCCAAATGACCCTCTATGAAGGGTTACACTGTTTTAAATGAGTTGCCATGGAATTGAATATAATGCCAAACATAAAGCTTTAACTTTTGGTGTATCATTAAGCTGGAAAACAAAATAATTAAAAGAAAAACTGATGAAGAATGCTTCCAAACCAACACATTTTATTTCAGTTCTCAGATATTCAGTAACATTCCCCTGAATGACCCCACTTGGAAGTCTAAAGACATGAGTAACCCAGCATGCGCTCCCATAATGTTTGCAACATCCTTTTGTTCACAGTGAATTTTACATTCTGCTTATTGCCATTTATCTGAAAGCCATAAAGACAAACCATGACAAGGGAAAAATAAGGCTCTTGTTCTCCTGCATTGCACATAAAACAGAAATGTTTTAATGCTTTATCAATGCCTAGCAATCAATTCCCAAGGTTTTATAATTTTCATATTATCACTTAAAAGCTAAATAAACAATCAGGAAGATCAAAGCTTTCAGAATATTAAAGCCTCTAAATTTATCAGGCGTAGTCTATACGCCTCTCTCAAAAGTTAAAGTACCAAAAGTAAGATAATACATTTAATAGTTTCCTATGAATGCTAGTCTAGTTTCCAGTTCACTACCTTAAAGAGGGGTGATTTTTCAGTTCGCTCCAGGTTTGTTTAGCATACAAATATAGATTATGAGCTTCTTCCCAGTGCCCATTTACCATTGCAGTGGCTATATCATATGACAGATGAGCAGCAGTTGCATACCTGAGGGAAAAAACCACAATAACTTTCTTAGGCTGAAAAAGCATCTGTAGTTAGAAGAAATCAATTCCTTTTCTTCCAGTCTCCAAAGACATTGAATCATGCAGCCATCTTTTATCCTTAATCTCATAGGATTAGCACAGTTTAAACTAGCAGGGCCCATTATGTTTAAACTTACAGACTATAGAACATATTTTTTTTTAGCTCAGAGTCCATTTCTAATAATCAGCACAGCAAATGAAGAAACAGCTTTCATCAGCAGACGATCCTGAAGCAAACAAATACGCTATTCTGGATCCAAAGCCAAGCCACTGTGAATTACGAGTCCTACCTGGATACAAAAATGCACTTAAAATCATTACAAAAGCACACTTCTATATATTTACATCTGAAGTTCCCCATGATGAATTCTTACTTGCCTACACCAGTGCTGCAGGAAAGCTTTTCTAGAAAGAAACAGATGTGCAGGCAGCCAAAGCTCTCCCCACCTGATGAGATCATCTCTGTCCTGGAAGACCTGGGTGCTCCTGCTCACGGTGTAGGTGGGGAACACGGCCCTGCCCATGCTGGCCAGGAGCACCGTGCAGAGCTGGCCCTGCCCAGCACTCCCAGCCTCCTCCTCCTCCACCGCCTCCGGCAGCGAGAACAGCAGCAGGACCCGGGAGAACACGGCCCGAGGGCCTTTACACACCCTCACACATTTTCCAGCCAGGTCCTTCACCCTGGAGGGACAAATAAAATTAGTACAACAAATGATTTTTACTGTCACTTGTAAAAACTGAATTATACTCAGTGAAGTATAAGAAAAAATTTTTTCAAGCCTATAATACATAAAATTGATTTTCCTTGAAAGAAGCAGAGATACTATATAGTACATGGAACCTCTAGTGAAAATCCAACCAAATGCATTCGCTAATAAAAAGTTTAAGGGCCAAACTTCCAACTGAACAGAATCAGAACTAACTGCCCTTTGGGTGCAGTCACTCCTGCTGCTGTGCCAGCCAGTACTATAAATCAACAAGACATGGTTTGCTGTTAGAGAATGCTTACAGGCCCTAATTTGAGATCCATTGTTTTAGGGAACCTCCATTAGCCCATTTTCAACCAGCCTTTTCATACAAGCCCAAACTTTGTTGCTTGTCCACTGACAGCACAGATTTAAAACCAGATTTTCTGTGATCTCCTGGGATAATCAGCATTTCAGCTGTCATCTACAGCAAAGGGCAATATGTTCCCAAAGCTGGGGTGGCTGAGCAAGTAACTATCAGCCTCTGTTCTTGAAGTAGGGAGTAAGACAGCACCAAGTACTTTTTGGAATGTAACTAATTTTCCCAGGCTCCTTTCCATTCTTCTAGCCTTTCTCTAAGACACTATTCTGAAAACAATTTTGTTTCTGTTAGAGATATTTATATAAATTGTGCATCATGCATTGTCATATAGTTCAAATGTCTAGTATCAAAGAGGAAAAATGAAATCTAAGGATTTTCATACTGAAGTTTTCTATGCTTGGATTAGAATGAGAAAGCAACCACAAAATAAGGAAAGAAGCCTTTAATGATTCACAGCATAATAATTCTTCATGGAGGAATGATTTTCAAGTTCTTTTTCCAATACTAGGCCCCTTTTAATACAAGGAATTTTATGGAAAATCACATGATAGATTTGGGAGGGGAGGAGGAATATTTGTCCAATAAACACAGCTATGCAAAACTTGATAAAACTTTATATCCCTCTCATTTGAAAAAGAAGGCCACAGGAAATACAAATTATGTTAGTACAGCAAATGCAGTCCATACTGACTTCTGCCAGCTTTCTATCCAAGCCAAATTTTATACAGAAAGGATTCCACAATTACCGAGTTCAGACCCTAATCACTCCTATTAGGGCAGCACAGCATCTTAAACCTGAACCTGGACCCCAGGAGACCTGGAAGTCAAGGGCATCTGATACACCCAGCTGTGACAGCCACAGTGGAAACATTACACTTTGTCAGGTAAACATACTTTTCCCTTTAAAATATTGCCAGAAGGAGTCTCTACGCTAAAGTACTCAGTCAGTCCCAGAAAAGAGACTATTGGTCTCCTCTAGTTCTACCAAAAGAGCTCACAGAGCAAACGAACATCAGATGGTTGTTTGAATAGGCAGTGGCCTTTCCCATACCTTCCTAGATGTTTTTCTGCACTGACTCTGCTTTACAGAATTCAGAAATGTTTCTCTGTGTAACCAAGTAACTTTGCAGACAGATAATCATGCCCACAGCTGAAAGCACAACACATTTTTAAAAAAAGTCTAGTATTTAACCTTCCATTTGACTTGCTGGGAATCAAAATGTAATGCTTCCTTTTTTACTAATAAATTTACTAAATGCATTCCTCTCTTGAAAAGGCATCTAGATTCCAGTCTGTTGCAGTGCAAAATTTAACTATAATCATTTACCTTTTTAAGATCACTGTCCCAACACCAGCCTGACTCCTGCTGAAGACTGAACGCTGTTTTGCCAACCTCAGAAAATCATCCACAAGTTGCTGTTTCTGACCATTTGGGTTTGGCAAGTGAAAGATCTTTGCCAACGCTTTTAGTTCAGGGGCTGAAAGCAAATCCAAACCTTCACACAGGTCTTCCAGTTCGGATTCTACAAGCAAAATGATCTGATACATTCATTGTGTGTTATACATGTACACTCAAGCAATAGGTCATAGTACATTCATATAACCTGGTACTAATCTAATGACTTAAATTCCTCAAAAATGTACTGTCAATGTTATCTGGTTCACCCCGAAATTCTTCTGGACTTTCTTCCCGACCTCTTCACAGGTCCAGGTTGAAGGTATGGAAGAATCAGAAGAAAACACCCTTTACAACTTCAAAATAGAAGCAAAAAAAAATTCTGCTGAGTTACAGAAAAACGCTATTCAGAAATGCTGTCTTCCCTATTACCCAATTTGCATTATTTTTATTATTCACAACACAACTCATTTACCTGAAATCTTAATTCTGGTCCTCTAGTACTCTTCCCAAGGCACAGACAAGCCTGTAGTGCATTGAACTCTAACATGACCCAACTGCAGACTCTATATGTAGCATTTTTACGATTTATCAGTGCTGTTCTTACCTGTTTGCAGAAATCTGGCTTCAGCCAGTTCTTCAATCATTGGTGACAAATCCACACTTATCTCTCCATACTCTATTTTGTTCACCTTTAACCAGTTCAGCTTGCGTTGAAAAAGCCTCACATATAACTTCTGCCCACCAACTGCAAATTGGAGTTAAAGCAGGGAAGGATAAAATGAAGAGTAAATTCTAAACACAGCACTATGCAAAATCACTACCTTAACCAGAAAAATTACTTTGATGCAGGTATCCTCTAAAACATATTTTACATCTCGTCACGTTCTATAAGCAGACTTGGTAAAATACCAGAACTTACCTTTTCAAGTAATTAATAAACTCATTAGAATATTTAAGTTTTGTAGGTACAGAAGTATTACAATGTATTTTGCAGGTATTGTACATTGCTAAAATGCATTTTGACATGCTTACCCTGTAAGAAATAATTTGTTTTATAGGAAAAGATGACTTCATTTTTCAACTCTGCATGTTGTGATATTAAATAGGTCTTTTTGCTTTCTTAAACAGTCATTCAATAACCAAATATTTCATGCTAGGGAACAAAAGAAGTCTGACAGAATAATTTCATAATCACAGAACACCTCTCTGTCTAGCAGTCTTCAGACTCTTATTTTTTCAAAGATAAGCCTAATTTTACTAATGTATCTACTGAAAACAACAGAAAAAAACCCTGCTATTCATTTTATTTTTATCAGGAAGTGTTCTCTTAAAGTACCCTTTAAAAAGACTTTTTACATACATGCTGAAATTCAACAAAACAGCTTATTAAATTTTAGCTGAAAATAGTTCAGCTATTGTTACTACATTCAACAACCTTTTGAATACTTAATTCAACCCTCATTAACTTCCGAATTTTTATCCCTGTCTGCTGCTTAACTGAAACCGATATTTAATAAAAACAGACACTGAAACACTACCAGACCCAGAGATATTCAAGAAATGGCAGATAACCTCGACGTGTTTATTTAACAATTCTCCTGTCCTTAAAAGACTTTTTCAGCCTTTTTTTAATGGAATGTTTCCAGGATCAATTCACTGGGAGAACTATATTTAGACATATGAGCCTGGCATTTTCTCTCTGGGATTAGAACTCCTTTGAAGTCGGTTCCCAGTTTTTACAACTCTGGAGAAAGGAAAAAAGTTAACACACGAACATCCTTTCCCCAGCCCTTGGAGCTGACCAAATGAGGGCTGCAATCCAGCAAGGGCATGTGAGGACTGCTTCCTCTCTGAAGGATTTGAATGACAAACAGAAGAATAGAAAGATATTGTGCAGGTAATTACTTGCTTCTTAAACATCCTGTTCTGAAGTGCATTCACTACCTTTGGAGGTTCGGGAGATTTTTTTCTTTTGTGGTTCTTAAGAAAGTTTCAAGTATATCAATGAAATAAAAAATTTGCTCTAAGTTGAAATATTATCAGCAAAAAGATGCAGAAGACCTTAGAAAAGTTCACCCTCTATGATTCATCAAAATACAACAGAAAAAAATTGTTTTCTGTACCTCAGTTCCACTGGTAACTATAAATCGATGTTTTTCAGATACAATATTTCTACTGTATGAAAGTTGAAAGGAGGATTTCACTGAGTGTATTAGGTTAGTGTCACTAGAACTATGAACTGGCATTTAAATTCTTGCAGCTGTACCTTGCAGCAAAATTAAACATGGAGAATACAAAAATCATGTTTTTAATGTTATACCTAATTTCAGACAGAACTCATCTTAAGCACAAAGGCTGACATTGCACTGCAGGTTACTTATAACGGATACACCTCTGCTTTTCCCTACTTTCATCTACTGTTTCTGGCACTTAAAAAACTGGCAGTGCTCTACATTTCGTAATAAGTTCACAAACTTTCATAATAATCTTCATAACTTCAGTGAGTTAGAGATCTCTCACTGAAGAATGGTAGACATTTCAGCAGAAAATAATGAAATACTGGAAAATACCTATATTGAAGCAACTCCATAGTACTAGGCACATGTGTTGGGTTTTTTGTGTTATGATAACTGAAAGACAACACCTGCTTGGTTAGAAACTTCTACTGTGGGACAGATAACACATCTACCTGAACTTTTAAAGTATTCTGTCTGGTATTTCTTCAAGGAAAAGGTTTCTTCATCTGTCAGTTGTCCAGAATTCGTTATCTATTGAGTTAAAGCAGTTCTCATAGCTCAATCCTTGTGTTTTTCCTACCCTGCAAAGAAAGATTGTTTTATCTGTGCCCCTGGCATTCAATGCATACGTGGATTTACCAGCACCACTCTGCAGTAATTCTTTCTGTATTCCAAACTCCTGCGAGAAGGGAATTCTGAAATTACACTACTGAAAGAGAAACAAGCACTTCCTTTATTTAAGAGAACAAGCTCCTGTTACTGATCAGTGTTGTACCCATCCAGAGAAGGGAGTGTGGAAATGAGGAACCTGTATCCTGAGCCTCTTTTAGTATTTGTCCAGGTAACCAAAGCCTGCATACATGACTGACCTAACTGCAAGTTTATGCCTAGATCTTTGGATGCAAATGATGTGCATCTACTGCTTGCCTGGGAGAGCCAATAATAACAGTTTTGTTGCTTCTGTTCCTGCCTTTATATATTCCACTTTTAACTATCACAACATAAACAAGGCATTATCAAGCCCCAAGATGTCACTATTGTGACATTCTCATGGCCTGGAGTGCACCCACAGGCTCTGCAGCCACACCCCAGCCCCCACAGGTTTGGCTGCTTGTGTCCAAGGCCAGCTCGGATCTGTGCAACTGTGTAAGCTGAGCTCACTCAGGTGCTGGGCAGGCTGAGTGAGGCTTTTTCAGGGCCCCCCTCTATTCTCTCAGGAGCTGTACCTAAGCCCAGACTGGTGGCCTGCACTCCTGCCTGAGCTCTGCTGTGGCATGTCAGTGCCCAGCCAGACACCTCACTGACTTGGCTTCACCCCAGTGTCACTACAGACTTGCCCGCAGACCTTCCTTACAAGTCTTCACTTTTTATCAACACCTTCCATTTAAACAACATTAGGAGAGTTTACTTACAAGAAGCCACTGATGGATACGTCTCCTGAGAAAAAGGAGCTTCTTCCCCTTAAGGAACTCATCCAGTTAAATTGCCCATGATATAGCACTCCTCACATAAAACTATGCAACAGTAATGTGGAGATGTATTTTTAAAGAAAGGTACCTGATAATTTGTAGAACTTGGTTATAATGTTCATATCTTGCTCATCAAATAGTCTGATGTCATCTTCATTCTCTAAGACTGCTTGAAGCACTAGTAAAAAATTCTGGAGGTAGTATGGGTGACCAGGAGAGCTGGGCACAGAGTGAACCTTATCTATTTTGTCTAAAACGTCCCCAGTGGAATTCTGAAATTCTTCTTTTCCCACAGTTTCTAACATAGTATAATTCATCTCATCCTTAAAGTCTTCAAGAACTTCCACAGGAAGTATCTGTGCATCACCCTCGCTACAGCAATTTTGCGTATCACAGTTCACTTCTGTCTTGGAAGAAGGAATAACCTGGGTGTGAGGCTGAGTCTTGACTTCCAAATTACTGGCCAGCTCTGGTGAAGCATAAATGGCTAGAGGTGTTTCAAATTTATCAGGACTAAGTGTCACACCTTCAGACCTGCTTTCTGTTTTGGTGCTCCTTGTACCACTTGGGAATCCTTTGTCATTGTTATCAGCCAGTAAAGATACCTGAACTATATCCACAAGGTCTTCTCGATTACATTGGTTTCTTTCTTTTTGAAATTCAGGTTTCCTCTTTGAAAAATTTTGTTCCTGGTGCTCTCTCTGTGCAAGTTGATTTTCTTTCTGAGAACTATGCCCAGCATAAATATCATCGTCATCATCCTCCTGTGCTGCAGCATTCCTACACAGACTGTGAACAGCAGGAGGTGAAGAGTCAATCTCTTTATACATGACCTGTTTTCCTCCCTGGGCACAACATTTTCTGGACAGTTTCGATGACAAGCTTCCCAAAGAGACTATTTTGACTGTTTGGGCCTGTGATTCATTGTTAACACTAATGACTGAGCTATTATTGCTAAAATAAGGACTAATCTGTTGTGCTGCACTACCTTCTGCTTTCAATGAATTGCCTTTGGAGGGACTTGTTTCTAGATTTAAGATGTTTTTTGAAAAGTATGATCTGGAATTATTGGTTACATTTGCAGCTGGGGGGCTCTTATTCTTCAGAGGGTCCAGCGTAGCACCAGTGGCACCGATCTCACCACGGTTTCTCTGACATGTTTCATCCATGTGCTCATTTATTCCATACCTTGGCACCAATTGCCCACACATGGGACAGCTAATTTTGGCAGGGGGAACATTGTTAAAAAAGGAAGTAATAGAGGAGGATGCTGAAGGTATAGATGACGTTCCTTTTTTCTTCTTACTTTTACTGAGTGACAAACTTATTTGGGATCTTTTGATTCCTGAAGACCTAGCTTCCGCCATTACAAAACTTCACAGCATTTACACAGCACAGGAAACTCCATTCAAGCCATATTTCCTTATTCTGTAATACTTAGAAGGCTTTTCTCGGCTTTGCCTTTTCCATCTGTAATCCTCTAATGTGTCTTCAAGAAAAAAAAAAAGATAATGAATGACTTTGTAAGGTACCAAGCCAAGGTTCAACCAAGATGAACAGCAGAGAAGAAAACATTAAAGCCTACAAGTGAAGAAGTCAAGCAGTCCTTAACTGTTACAGTGTTACTGTCCTTTAGCCTGCCTTATCGGGCACACCAAAATCGCCATGCTGAACGCTGCAGCTGGCCTTCAACAGTTTAATACATGGAAATCAATCTCAACTTTTCATTTACATCATCAAGTGAACCTGGCATTTAAATAGCCCTCTAATTTTCACAGAATCCCAGAACAGTCAGGGTTGGGCCCAGGATGGGCCCTCTGGAGATCCCCCAGTCCCACCCCCTGCCCGGGCAGGGTCACCTGGAGCAGGTACACAGGGACACGTCCAGAGGGGTTTGAACGTCTCCAGAGAAGAGACTCCACGGCCTGCCCGGGCAGCTGTTCAGGGCTCTGCCACCCTCAGTGGAAAGAAGTTCTCCCTCCCGTTGAGGTGGAATTCCTTCTGTTTATGGCCATTGCTCCCCATCCTGTCGCAGGGCACATTCCGTCATTACCTCGTTTGCTGTGCAGACACTATTTTCGGTGCCAAACACCCGCCTTTCCAGCGCACCCCCCCGGCTGCTGCGGCTGCCCCAGGCCGGGCCGGGCTCTCCGAGGCTGCCGGGCACAAGCGCTGCGAGGGCTCCGGCCGCTCCCCGCGTGTTCCTACCGGGACAGCGGCGCCTCGGGTCCCGCCCCCATTCCCGGTGCTGCGCCCCGGGCTCCCGCCCCCATTCCCGGTGCTGTGCCCGGCCCTGCCCGCCCCTCGCCGGCCCGGCGTCCCCGCCGCTCCCCACGCCGGGAGCACCCAACCGCGCCCTGTCCCGGAGCCCGCCCGGCCCTCCCCGCGCACCGGCGCCGCAGCCGCGCGTCCCTCCCGGGGCCGTGCAGGGCCTTACGGGGCCCTGTGGGCAGGGCCGCGAGGGGCCGGGCCGTGAAGGGCCGTGAGGGGCCGGGCCGTGTGTGCGGGGCCGGGCCGTGTGTGCGGGGCCGGGCCGTGTGTGCGGGGCCGGGCCGTGTGTGCGGGGCCGCCCCGCTCCCGCCCCCGCCAGGCCTGAGCAGCGCAGCGCCGATGGCGGCCCCGATGGCGGCCCCGATGGCGGCCCCGATGGCGGCCCCGATGGCGGCCCCGATGGCGGCCCCGATGGCGGCCCCGATGGCGGCCCCGCGCTCCCGCCACCCACCGACACGGCCTTGCTGACTCTTGAATATTTCCTTTGACAACAACGAGGGGAGAATGGTTGAGGTCCACAGGGGTACCGGCTGGAGGCTTCTCTTTTCTTTGTTCAGCCGAGGAAAGAGTAAACAGTGAAATATTTCCATCTTGAGAAATACGGTTAATGTGACTCTGAGAACAGGGCAGGTAGGGGAGGATGTTCCTCGGAGCTGTAAAAGGCCGCGTTAGAGGAAAGCACTCAAGGGCCCCATCCCTGTCTGACCAGGCTGTGTTCGGGGGGCCCAGCAATGGCCCAAGAGGAACGGGCAAGAACTGATGCCCAGGAAGCTCCACCTGGCCACAAGGAAGAACTTTGCTGTGCAGTGACCCAGCACTGAAGAGGCTGCACAGAGAGGGTGTGAAGTGTCCTCATGGAGACATCCCAGAACCATCTGGACACAATCCAGTGCCATGTGCTCTGGGGTGGCCCTGCCTGAGCTGAGACGTGGGACCAGGTGACCCACTGTGGACCCTTCAACCTGACCCATTGTGTGACTCTTAAGTTAAGAGAAGCCATTTCCTAACTCTGAGATACCACAGGTTTAAAAAGCTTTTGTGTCCTGTTTGGTTCTCACTATTTCAGAATATAATTTCTAAGTTAACTAGGTGGATACATCTTAAGTTCTTCAATAAGTGCAGTTACTCCTGCAGTAGAGCAGATACAAATCTAGGGGCTACAGATTAAAGAGATTGTACAGTCACAACACATGCCAAATATTTTACATGGTTATGTATCTGCTCCTGGCAAGAAGCAGAGTTCTATAGTAGAAAATTAAAGTAAAACCTGCAGGAAAGCATCTTTACATCACCTGAAAAGTTCACAGAATATTTTAAAGATCAGCACAGAATAAAACCTAGTCAAATTCAGCATTGATGAAGAAACATTTTAATATATACAAGATGCAACATATATAAAAAGGTATATTACAACTTCAATTTATGAACAGAGAGTGTTTTCTCCTTCTTCTGTTTCTTCTTTAATTTGCTTGCATCTTTGATTTGCATTTTTACTTGATCTTGTAGTTGAGAAAAGAAGGCCTGGGATGATTTCAAGGCCTTGTCTTTACCTTCATCCTGTCAGTGGACAAAAGATCTGTTATAACCAAGAAATGTACAAACAGTGCCATTGTATCACTTACTAGTTACTCACATATAATGGTATTTGACTTAAAAGAAATCAGGTAACTCATTTTCAAAGGTTATTTTCCCCCACATTTTTATTCCACTCCTGCTATCTAAAGATTACATTCCCTTTCTAAACAGCAATTAGCATGACAGTTAAGAGCAGGCGTCAAGAACAAATCCTTGCACATCATGAACTACAACTGGATATCTGTATTTTGTGTTCTGCTTGCCTTCTGAAAAGTTAAGCACATTTAGAAGTAACCAAGTTGTTTTTCCTGTTAGTTTCTAATACTTCCAAATTTCAGAGATTTTTAACATTTAATTTATAAGGCATCATAGGTGGTGCACAAGTTTACTGTTTTACAGCATGCAAAACAAAATCACTCTGATGAGATTATAGGGAGGGCTCCACAAAAAGGACAAAGTTAACCAGGAATATTCTATTACACCACAGCTTCAGTTACTCAAATCTTAGAAGGAACACAGAAACCTCAATCTCAATTGTGCATTCAAGCAGTCCCACTTAATCAAGTGGAATGGTTTAAATGCAGGAAATAAGGAGCATGTTTTATTTGCAGGAACACCACAAAAAGGAGTACCTCACACAGAATCGTTTCTGCTTTGAGAACATACTTTCACATAAAGTAATTGTATCATAGAGCTTTTTCATAGTTTTGCATATCTAAATATTAAGCTGCTTACAAATTCAAATATATTCCATACTCTGAGTAAGCTTCTAAAAGTTCTAAAGAACCACTTAGGAATGATGTATCATAATTACAGCAGTACCATCTACATAAATATGCATTATTAACAAGGGGGTCACTGCAAAGTGCTACAAGAGCTGTATATTTTCAGGCCTCAATACTGACATCATGCTGTCAGGATAATCAACAAAATCAGGACTAAAAGGCATTCAACCCTACTTTGCATAAGACAGCTACAGCTAGAAAAACTGTAGTTCAAAAGAACACAAGGGAAAGAAAGGGGAAGGGGGAATAAAAAATAAACATAAATAATAAAGGAATATGCATCTGCCCTTTCTGTGCCTTCCTCCCTCTTTCTTTGCAGCAGCTACGCTTACCCTTTATATATGCTCACACATAAGGTCACAAGGTTAGGGGGGGTAAGCACAGATTCTATCCTTGTGCAGGATTTTTTGAGGGGATGAAGAAAGACTTGTGACAAGAGGGATGAGAGGGGAACAAACCTTATACTTTGTAATTCTTTAGGATATAGTAACCCTTTTTCTCTCTAGCTAAAACTGTCTATCCTTGGGATCTTAATATTCTGTAGCTGGGAAGCTCCAACTTAGACTGTCTTACCTTGAGCAGAGACGCTTTGCCTTCTTTTGTGAGCTGTTTTAATTTTGCTGCAGCAGCTTTTTTGCTGAGTTTTGTGCTTTGCTCTGGTTTCATCTTTTCAAGAAGCTTCTGGCGTTTCTCCCTCTCCCTTCGCCTCATACGTTTGTGGAGCTTTTTCCTTCTTAGTTCTCGTTTTTTGTCCGTGGGAGTCTTTTCTGCATCTGTTTTTACATCTCCAGCTTTGTTCTTTTCCTAGAGTGAACAAGATCCCTAGGTCTATAATCTGTCTCATTATTTCAAGTGAGTGCCAGCTCAAGGCAAGGCTGGATTAATGCAAAGGCCAAAAACTGGGAAAAGCTGGGAAATGAGATTTGTACAACTGATCAAGGACATGCTAATTGCTCTTCTCTACTGTCATTTAGCTTTCACCTCCCAAATACCCATACATATGTTGGGAAAACAGTTAGCATTACATAATAGTCAAGGTCAAAAACATAGCACAATATTACAGCACCAAATAAAATGAACTCTTTCCCCACCTTTCAGTTAGCAAAAAAAAAAAACCCACCCCCAAAAAACCCCCAACAACAACCAACACTAAAATGCTAGGCAAGAAGGTCCACAAGGAGAGGAACCACCCACCAGGGTGGAAAGGGGCAGAATTCCCACTGATCTGGCAGTAAACATCCTTCTGTAAACAACACAGATCGTCTCTCCATCCTTATGCAGTTTGATCCTTACCTTGATCTCCTCTGGTGCTAAGAGAGCAGCATCACTGACAGCAACAGGGGCCACTTCTTCCATACTTATGGCTGGAAGGTTGGAAACTATTTTAACTTCTGGTACCGGCTGGAAATAAGGAGACACATTCAAGCCTGAGCACAGCAGCTCACACTAACTGAAGATACCCAGTGTTTGGGTTTGTTTAGAGGCAATCACAGTGCATTTAATGTGAAGTAAGAATGAGCTCAGTAAACATCAATGTTTACTTTACTTTCCATTTCTGAAATATATTTTGAAGTATCCAGTTTAAAAAACGGGGGGATACCCAACTTTATGAAACTTATGTACTTACTGGTTTGGGTGTGAAGTGGAAGTTACAGAGTGCATCCAGCTTCAGGAAGAGCGAGTCCATCATTTCCTGAATTTCTTTGTGTTCAGGATTTTCTTCCTCTTCAGTCTTTTGCTGCATTAATAATGCAATGTTACTGCAACACCATTCCTAAAGGTATTTTACTTTAGCAAGACTGATAACAGCACAACGTACAACTAGGAGCCATTTCACTGATGAACACCAAGAGAAAGATGAAAACTCTGTAAGCAGACTTAGCAGTGTATAAATGAACATTCAAGATTATGTGGTGTGAACCTGAAGGAAAGGCACCGTTTCTGTTACCTGGTGAAGTTTCACGTATTCTTGCTCATAGATTTCAGCAAGACTCAGCTTACTCTTTTCATGATCCAAAGTGATACGTTTCTTGTATTCAAAAGCCTCCTCTTTCGGTTTTTCTTTTGGTACCACATCATCCCACGCCTAAGGAAGTGACAAAGTAATGACCAAATGCAACTACGGTCAAATATCAGGTGGTACAGCTTATTTGGAACATTTTTCAGTTACTTATCTGGCACGCTAACTAGTTCATGCATGTGGCTTCCCAGA